CAAATGTTGATTTGATTCAAAATTAACTTACCATGTTTCATCTCTAGTATAGCAAACCCAGTATATTCATTGTCATTACTCTAGATCCTCAAATATGTGCTTAGTTGACAAATGTTGATTTGATTCAAAATTAACTTACCATGTTTCATCTCTAGTATAGCAAACCCAGTATATTCATTGTCATTACTCTAGATCCTCAAATATGTGCTTATTTTATCATCCGATTTTCTGATTCCTCTACAATGAGGTTAAGATTATCCACAACTCTCAGAAGGTTCACGGCAACATCAGCCTTGAGAACGTGATTCTCAATTTGGAGATTGACAAGGACGACCAAAGTTCATTCATTATCGGTGTCAGGATTGAGGGGGCGGAATATCATGATCTAACTACTGCCACGATTCAGAACGACATGGTGGGTCTTCTGAATATCACTAATGTCGTGCTTGCATGTGTCCCGTCCGGGTCTGGCTCTACTCCACTGAAGAATATGCTTGACTTAATGAGGCATTTGTCAACGGGACCCCCAGATAGGATGGCGGCAGATCAAATGTGGTAGGTAACGTGTAGCGTTTTAGTTTTTAAATTAACCGTAATTGAGATTATGATCTGATTGTTTTTGCTGTTTGTTTGTGCAGGCAGTCGGAGCAGCTTGTGTTCCACCATCCTTGTCTGTGGACGGGCAATGACGCTTCTTAGTTCTTCGGATTTTTCTACCAATACTACATCGGGCTGCCCCAGGAGATTGGCGGGAGAAAGGAGATACTTGACAACCACCCTCTTCCTGCTTCTTTGAACGGAATAGATATTGTTAAGACGATTGGAGTACAATTCAAACATTGGGAAGCAAGCGTCTCAGTTTTTTATAAACAAGTTGAGGGGACGTCACGTAGGAAGTTAGCTGGTCTCCTGAAGAATTGCAGCACATTACTGCACTTGTTAGCGTTCATCCGAAATGCCCTTGAACATGGGCTAGGCGACCATGTTGTAAGTAAATTTCTCAAGGATTTAATAACTTTTGTGATTTCTTATATCGTCTTAACAATTCCTTTTGTTTCTTATCTTGTAGGCCCTACGTTCGAATCTCGCTGGTTTAACTTGGGAGATGAAAAGAGAGCTTCTAGTGGAGGAGTTGCTCCACCTACTCATGAGCGTCCCGATGGACTTGATGAAGATAACCGTCGAGTGGCCAGACGTGCGATCTGTGTGGATGAAGACGTGAATGGATCGTTTGGATTGAATTTTAAACATACATTGTTACTTGAAAAATGAGATGTATGGGAGTATTTACTCTTAGAATGTTATGAATATTCACTCTTTCTTTTTTAGCCGCAGAGAACTTCTAGTAGTATGATGGAATTTGCGTATCTTACCATGATGAATGTTATCTAGATTAAGCTTCATGGAGTTCTGCGAGAACGACAGTTGAAAACTCTCAAATCGGACTAACGTACGCTTTTCTTCATCACGAAGCGTCTCGTTTCTCTCTTATCTTGTTTCCCTTTGTCACCGTTTTCTCTCTGATTCAATCTGGGGTGTTTCATTGTTGAATTTGTGGATTCCTGTTGTGGTTTGAGTTCTGAGTGTTTCGGTTTGTGGTACGGACTTCAGATTCAGTCGCTTTTGTTCGTTAATTTGCTGTTTGATTGGCTGCCGAAAAATGTGGAAAGGATATAGTGATGAACATCGGTGAGGGTGTGTAGCGTGAGGAAACCAGGAATGTATATTCGAGTTTGCCTGTGTTTAGCTGTTTGGTGTCCATATGTTAGCTATTTGTGTTGTTTGGTGTCCATAGGTTAGCTGTTTGGTTGTTTGGTAGATAATTTAATCGTATTGGTTGTTTTAAATAATTTAATCGAATACAGAGCAACACTCGTTAGACTCTTAGTAGAGGTATACATGTTCTTAGAAACGCAGTCTTTTGACAGAAAGGGGGGATCTGAAGATCTCTTAATATCCGATTTTCCCAGGGAATGGGAGGATATGATAATCGTTTAAAACCCAATTTCCTTAGACGTGCATCTCTTTATAAAGAGTTGAAGTAAGTTGCGCTATGTATTCGATTAAATTATTGAAAACAACCAACACGATTAAAAATTCAACATAAATTTATTTTATATTCCACTAAATACATTAGCAAAATAAAAGAAAGACAAATCGTGAAGAATTGTATGTACCGGGTGATCGTTCCAAACTATCCCTTGACCGATGGTTGGGTTGGTCGTACAAGTCGGTTGGATCCAACGGTCCTTGCTCGAGATAATACTGTTGGTTGTATATATCCACGTCGTCCCCAACCTACGAGAAAATAACAATGAGGTTAGTACATAGATTAATTAAAAAGCTTATAACAACAATAAAAATTAAACCAGAATAATGAGTACGTACCGCTAGAAATTCATCAACATAAACTCCCTCTCCTTGCCACCAATCGCTCATTTTTTCGGGAAATTCGGACAGATATTCGGCTAGGCTCGGCGGGTTTTGAGGAAAAAACCTAAGAAATGTTTTCTTATGGCAGATCGGACTTAGCCGCAACCAACATACCACTATTTCCTAGACTTTTGGGAGGGGAGGGTTTAGAGAGATAAATTCTAGTGAGAGAAGGAAGAATGGGTTGTGGTGTGAAGAAATGAGAGGGGGAGAGGGGGTATTTATACTTATCAGACCGCACCCTTCAGGGGCGGTCTGGTAATTTTCCCCTCGCAGAAACCGCTCCCTTCCGATGCGGTTTGTGAGTCACGAGGCGCCGACCGCTCCTTGCAGGTGCGGTCCCCGATCCATGGCGCAGATCGCTCTGCTGGGGCGCGATCCGCGGTCCGATCGCTCCTCCACCCAACGGTACTCTTGAAGACCGTTCCGCAGAGAAAGCACACCACACCTTCCTAGTGCGGTTCACGTGGTGACGTGGCATGGAACGCACCCCTAAGGTGCGGTTTATATGTAAAACGCACCTGTGGGATGCGGTTTACTTATAAAACGCACCTTAGGGGTGCGTTCCATTAAAAATGGTGCTATTTATGTCAATTTTTTCGGATGAGTGCTAGTTTTGTATTTTTTTTAAACGTGCTATTATTGGAAAAATCCCTTTTGTTTTTATATTTTTAATAGTTAGAAATGAGGTGGAAATTATAAAGTATTAATTTGTTTTAATTTTTTAATTTTTTAATTGCCACATCACTCACTTAACGGTCAACTTTTAAAGTTGACCGCCACGTAAGCAAAAGTGAACGGAGTTGGACGGAGAGTGACCAAACGTGAATGGTTTTAATAAATTGAAGTACCACCAATAAATTTAAATATTTCGAGTGACCAAACTTGAACGTTTTTTATAATCTCAGTGACCAACCATGCAATTAACCCCATCTTTTATTATAGGTTAATGTCTGTTTTTATCCAAACCTTTTTTCAGATTCCTTTATATTTATCCAAATCTATTAAAAATGCTATTAGTTAGCCAAATCTTACGTAATACATCAAAATATTATCCATTTTTATATTATCGTTATAATTTTGTAACTTTTTTTATAGTTAAAATACTAAAATTTTGGAATGTTGACCATCACGTGTCTCTTCCAAATCAGTATCACGTTGCCAAGTGAATATTACTAACAAAATTGCTAACTGGAAGTTAACATTTAGATAATTCTTAGTATTTCGGTAAGCTTGAATAATATAAAAAAATCTGAAAAAAAATTGAATAAAAAATAGAAATTACCCAACACAACTCAAAGACATGTGAAACTCAATATGGTTTCTTAACATTGTGTTGTTTAACAAACACCCAATATCTTCATAATCATAATATTGTTCAGTACAACCATTACATGCGCAAACTTTGCTCAGCATTCACAACTGGACATGGTTGCAATATTTGGAGTATAGAGAGAGCTCTAGAAGGCATCTTGTTCCCTTCCATTGGAATTATGTTAATTGCCATGCTCTTGCATAGTTCTATCAGATTTTTGTAATCGATGATGCTCTCACGTATAGGGTTTCTTAGGCTGAAATAGACCTAACTAGGTAATCTGCTACTTCTACCTTTTACTTAAGCTATAACAGTGCAAATTCTACCGACTTTTATATATACCAACACCCACCTTGTTGTGCCTCGGCTATGCCTCTCATATCATGTACTCGTCTTCTATCTTCACATCATTCAATGCTTCACCACCAGTGGAGTCACTTGAGTTGAGGCCAAGGTAGGTCATTTGCATCACCTTGGCAAGGAATTTTGGGGTGGGGCAATTTTTTTAAAATAATTTAATATTGAAAACCTATAATTTGTGTGAATTTTATTTTATTTTATTTCCGTTCTTTAAATCTTTAAAATCATCTAAATTAGGAAATACATTAAATGGTTATTAGAATAATTCTCATTCAACATGAAATACATATATAGTATTATTTTAATTAGTAGAGTTAGACATGATATGTAACTCAAACATTATTACATCTGCATGGATTACAAAAAAACTAGAAGAGGGATTCAATTGTCAATAAAGAATGGAGGCATTGGTGAAAAAAACTTCAATTACCAATCATAATCTATATCTCAAAATTTTAGAATATTAGGGATTAAAATATAAAATTAGAGGAAAATGTGTACTCAAATATTGTAATGACTTGTAAATTTTGGGATAAGATATTCCAATGAGAATTTGAAATAATTATCGTTCAACATGAATTATATATGACCTAATTTTACTAGTAGAAGAAAATTAGAAATGATATGTAATTCAAACATTGTGTAAATTGCAAACAAAAAGAAACATAAAGGCCGATTAAAAACTTGAGGTATCAAATTGTAAGACAACAAAAAGACTGATTTTAAAACTTGAAGTATCAAATTGTAAGATTTGTTATTTTTGGGGTGAAATATGATAAAATTGTAAAATGAAAATGTATGTAAAACTGGGGTTAGGATCAGGTGACTAGGGGGGCTTAGTCACATGACTAAGTGAATCTCAACCATTCCACCTCATTAAAATTCAATAGCTAAGATTAATCCATTTTAATTAAGGATATTGTAGTAATTATACAAGTTATTTATTTAATCATTAAAATAAAAATATGATGGGCCCACTGGCGAAGTTGCCGCACTCATGGGGCGATTAATTCTTCCCGGCGGAGAGCCGGCCTTTTTTGAATTCCCCGGCGGTGGCTTTTTTGGCACCATTTATGCTTTGCTGTGAGAGAGAGAGATATATATTTTCTACTGATCGGAGGAGACTTTCCGGCGACAGTGCTGGATTTGTGATGTTTGGTGACTTATTTTGTAATATTTGTATAGATTAGGTTTGTATTGTTTATCATTTTTGTTTGTCATTTTTAGTGGCATTTTGTACGGTTAGTATGCTTTGTACTGTTTGTCGGTTTATTTTGTAATGTTTGTACGCTTTGTTATTTTGTAATGTTTGTCGGTTTCTTTTGTAATGTTTGTAAACTTTGTTATTTTTGTGCACCATGTTTATCATTTTTGATAAACCAATTACAATAGTGGTCCCGTTCATTTGCTTTGCTTGGATGGTTATGAATGGACCGAACGGTTTGACATAAAACCTCATGAACCATCCTAATTTGACTTGTCCACTTATTCACTATTTTGACCACACAAAATATACTTTAAAGTAAACTAATATCATTCACCTCAATTACTAATTCTATTTAGTCTTCCTTTCCTTTGTTTTCTATCTCCAAATCGGCTTTACGTGGTCCAAAACCAATCGCCATCATGCTTATTAACTTGAATTTTAAAATTTATGATTTTTTTGTGAGATAGTTGAACTATTTTTCTGAATTTTTGTTGATAGATGATATGGATTTGAAAATGTTTATGGTTAATGATTACTTCAGTTCTAAATCAGTGTATTATACGACTTTTACGTGTTAATGCATGAACGAATAACTAACGCTTTTATAACAATTAACCCTTGAATCATATCTCATTAAACTTTCCGGTTCAACATTTGGTCTGGCTCTAAAAAAATTTAAACTAATTAAGCTAAAAACGTGTAGTTACATCCGTTTACAATGTTAAAAACAACCAATTAATAACTATATTGTTCAAAACGGTGTGTCAAATAAGAAATGTTTCCTCCTTTCTATTCTATCCCTTGCTTCGAAGATCGAAACTGCCATGCATCTCCTTCCCCATTCTTCAAAGCTAGTACTGCATGGTGAGGTGATGTGGTTTAGGGTCCTTGACAAATAGATCTAAAAAAAATATTAAGACACTTAATCCAACTGTAAAAAGGGATAATAGCTCATAATGCCATGAAATTAAATCATAGAAATATCAATTCACACAGAAAACCGATTCCCATTTATTTTCGGCATTAATTCTACTGCTCAAGTTAAAAAGGGCTGAAGGAGCACAAAAACAGTCGGAAATCCAGAGTAGCGAGCAGCATCAGCACAAATCCAGGGTTCAACCTGTGCAAACCGTAAAAATCCACAATTCGGCATCGGCTTTCGTTTGAGGGGCACAACGAAGATCGCCGACAAGGTTTCGACGAGGAGACAGACGCCGGAGGTCCTCTGACTCTCTTGCTGCGAGCGCACTGAGCGATCAGTGGTGAGTTTCGAAAGTCGAAGTAGGGGCAGCAGGCGAAGTCTCTTCTCCGTATATCTTTTGGATTGAGTTGTTTATTATCCTTACAGATCCCCTATATTTTGAATTTTTAACAATTAGGACCTTCACATTAACAATTCTGAACAAATAAGTCCGTAGTTTTGTTGTAAAATTGCTCCTTCTAGACGAACCGTCAAAAAAGTTTTCTACCCACCTTTATATATTCATCAGGAAAATTCAGAAGGCTGATATCTTTGCACACTCTTCAGAATGCCGGTCTGTATTGAAAATCTTACTATACATTTTCACTGCTCATATACAATCTCTACACAATGGCCAAAATAAGAATTGCCTAAACCCTTGGGCAGCTAGCTATGCAGATTTTGTTACCATCGACAAACGAGCGCCATCATTACCGCCTGTCCGATAGGACTGAATCGGTCCATGAGAGCATGAGATCCCGGACAATCGTCGGAAAATCTATCCATGGAAAGGCGCAAAACATTCAGAAGCAAAGCCAAGATATGCATGGAAATTCAGAGCTAATATCTAGGTTGGCAAGTCAAAAGATTGAAATGTACCTCTTACAACCTCCGTAGCAACTGTAGGTATATCTATTTCACCTTCAAGCAGTCTGTATACATCCACAAGCTAATAGAAACACAAAAGGACACGGTGGTGTCAGAAGGAATTCGAAAAGCAGCATGATCAAACGACTAGATTTCTATCCAGCTCACCTCTTGTATGTGAAGCTTTGAGTCTTCAGTGAAAGCCAAAAGGAGCTGTCTCCGAATTCCCTCGTCGATAAAGAATAGACGAGCTCCATCTTTGATGGTATCAGTCAAATCTAGCTTGCTTTGTGATTGCCAGTCTTTGGTACTTTTCCTGCAAACCCAGAACGATAATGCGAGTCCTGGAAAAGGTTAATTAACAAATATACGACAGCAGAATTTAGTCGAGATGATAAAGAATTACACAGATGTGTTCTTTGTTTGTATAGCGGGGTTGGTGCTCATCTTGGCTACGTTCTCTTTTGCAAGGACAATGAGATTCTCCAGCCGCTTCCACTGGAAAACGCCGTCCTTGAAAAGAACCTGAAACAAAGAAGCCCATTTCTAGTGAGTTCTTCTGACCTCGGAAGCCTAACACAAAAATTATGAACAATTGTAACGATTTCCTCAAGTTCTGAAAAAGAATGATCTAGATCGTCATGAACAGCTAGAGAGGATCAAAGATACAAACCAAATAAAACAAATATATTCAAAATAAGAGAGTACCTGTATGAGGCGCTCACGGAGAGCTGGATTTGGATCAGTTAGAAGGCGCTTTGCCACATAAGGGTAGGCAACCTGTAAAGGTACATTGACAAAATCTGGAATTAGAGAGAAAGCAGAGCAGCATACTAATCAAAGACTACTAATAAAGACTATATGCAAATTCTATCCCCTGGCTTAAAACAGTTCAATAGAGATAAGTCCCACATCACATTTGTTCCATAACATTAACATTGCTGGCTCGCAAACAGCTTATAGCACAAATGCAAAGCTGAACTCTTGTAGAGACTAGAGATTACTAAAGGAAAAACATATATTTACCTCAAGAAATTTAAAATCTGGCTGCAGGGTGAAGCAAATACCCTCTTGAGTTAACAAAGACCGGATAACAAGAGAAAATCTATCCGGTATGCGAATGGGGTAATTGTAAACCAGCTGGTTGAATTTCCCTGCAGAATGTTGACACGCAAGTTAACCCAGTTGGGCATCAGGGATTCATTTTGTTTAATAGAGACACAAAGAAAGACAACTCTTGGAAAGCTGGGCGAGATATACCACTTACCTGTAACACTTCTGAAGTTAAAATCAGCAAGTCCTTTCCCAACTGAGTTCTGCCAAATGGCTTCCAGGGCTGGAACGAGAGGAGCCACATCTGTTCCACTAGCCAGGAAACCAAGCCTGGTGAAGTCATTTGCCATCTCGGCATAGTCCTCATTCACAGCATGAACGACGGCATCAATCAGTATCTGCTTATTTTGCTGCAAATATGACAATATATTAAACAAAATGAGAATTTACAGTTTACACAGAAGTTCACAATTGTCAGTTGTTGGTAACACCATGCATCACTGACACTGCATGAGGTTGGAAATGCATATCATACCTGACTAAGCACAGCAACATTCCCAAAATCTACATACGCAATACGGCCATCCCGCATGGCAAAAATATTTCCAGGATGTGGGTCCCCATGAAATAAACCGAATTCAAGCAACTGCCGCAAAGCAGCACTAACCCCAAGTGTTAAGAATCCATTAACATCAATGCCTGCATCCTTGATTGCCTGCATGATATTTTGAACAATGCATTATTGCTGGCAATAGGAGAAGAATGTCCAAAATAAAAGCGCACAGGTTTCAGGTTATCAATACCTGTGGGTCAGTACACCGAATACCGTCAATCCATTCCATAACTATAACACGTGATCCTGAAAGCTTTCTGTAAACCTTAGGAATCTTAACAGTTGGATCATCTTTGAAGTTCTCCAGAAAGTCTTCGATATTCCGGGCTTCCTGAATATATAAGAAGTGGCCAAGTCAGGACTGAAGATAGGAGCTTCTTTCACCATTTTGATTGAAAATTGATAGAACCAAGCAAGTTGAATACTTTATTTGATTAACAATGCATAGAAAAAAATTGACAAAAAAAAGTAACTTTTAGGTATACCAAGGTGTAATCAAGCTCTTCAAGAAGCTTCTCTCCAAATTCATCTACAATGAGCTCGGCATTGCATCCCAACTTCTGTAAGCTGATCCCATTTAGGAATGAAGCAAGAGTTCTGAAAAGGAAAAGGTCCCGGTAGATTATAGGCTCTATGTTAGGCCGTTGGACCTGCATGAAAAGGAAATATTATGAGAGATTCACCTCGCAAGTACAAACTGTGCTTAATAGTTTATATACAAAGACTAGATGGAATAGAATAATCTAACTTTTAGGAATGATCATCACATCACTGCATATTATGTGGTATAAGAACTAAGGTACAGCATCTGTTACACTATTCTTCCTTGCTGTCTGCAACTATCCATCCAAACATCACTGCATATTATGTGGTATAAGAACTAAGGTACAGCATCTGTTACACTATTCTTCCTTGCTGTCTGCAACTATCCATCCAATGGACTACCAAGTGGATGAACTATGCAAGTTATATTCACACACTGTTGCAACCTGGTGACCATCAGGGCAGAGAATGTGATAGCAATGGATTAGCATTATCCTACCTTGATTGCAACTTCAGCACCAGTTTCCCTTAAGGTAGCACGATAAACTTGACCCAAGCTTGCAGCTGCAATTGTCTCTGATGAAATCTGACTGAAAACAGCCTCAAGCGGTTGACCCAAATCTTCTTCTATGATATTGAAAGCAATCTAACAAAACACTCAACAGTTAGGCAAAACAATCTAATGTGGTACAGTCTACCAGAAAAGCAAATAATCACCACATCAGGGAGAAAAAAGGCATATAGTTCTTGCCTGATTAGGGAACGAAGGCACATCATCTTGAAGAATACACAATTCGTTCATATAATCTTCTCTGATTATATCAGGTCTGTTGGCAAGAACCTGCCATTGCGCAAATGATACAAACTTAACTTTCAAACCAACTCCATACACAACCAGAGACTCAATCAAACCCCATGAACTACATCCAAATTCAAACAAGTACCACAATTTGAGATCACACTGACGACGAACCTGACCGGCTTTAATGAAGGAAGGCCCCAAATCACACAGGAGATTCCTAAGCTGACGAGCACGAAAAGGAACCACCTCTTCATCCCTTCCAACGAAGTAATCATACATCAAGGTCGACCAATAAAACCCCAGACTCCACACAATCTCCACTCCTCTTAGCAGCAGAGACAAAGTGCTCCCTCTGGTTTCCAACACCTTATTCCTCACCTAATTCCACAGCCACAAAAATCACCAATCAATCAAAAATCAATCCCGACAAAATCAAACTTAGCCACTACTGAATCGGAGAGCTGGAATTGGGGGAAACGAAATGAATCTTATGGAATTCGAATTACAAGGAACAATTCATTACTGTCTCCGGGGAGTACTTGCGGAAAGGCACGCAGACGCCGCGCTCGAAGTCGAGCTGCTCCATAGCCTTGCTTAATTGCACAGCAGCGGCAGCTGCCCCGTTGGCTTCCTTGGCAACTGCCACGCTCCTGCTCGTGCTGGCCCCGTTTCCATTTCTCGAGGTCGGACCGGTGGTGGTCACAGCAGCAGAAACTCGAAACGCCGGCGACAGCCGATTCCTGGAGACCGCGGAGGGGAAACCCGGAGTTCGGAGCTGCACATCGCTACGGCGGCTGGTGCGGAAAGGACAAGCGTTGATCAAATTTGGATTAATCAACTCCATGATTCCTAGCGGCAGCTGAGGAGAGAAAGAGAGAAAGCTAGCTCGAAGGAATTGGAATTGGTGACGCTACAACCAACCAGTACCATAACCACGCAGTTCGGATAAACTGGAAATGGTGACAGCAACTGCAACGAACAGAGGACAGGAAAAAGGGGATTTTGCTACGGAATTTGAAAGCCGCTCCTTTTCAACATCCACGCATTATGTACCTGTTTCCGGAAAGTGCCGATCGTATGGTTTTAGTTTTTAAAAAAAAATCTTTTTTTTTTTGTAGAGCGCTACTAGATTGTATGGTTTTGAAGTGGGCTACGTACCCATGTCGACGCCCGACCCGGCCCAACAAAATCAATGGATGTGGAGCTACCCTTCTTGTTTTCCATTTTAGGCAATACATTTGATATTTTTATTTAGGTCTTTTTTAATCAAGTAATAAGGTGTAGTAGGAATGATAATGGGGCGGGATGGGATTAGGTGCTAACCCTTATGTGATAACTAGCAAAAAACGCTACTAAAAATAACGAAATCACTACGGATTATTATAAAATCAATACAACATCTAAGCTAAATCACTACTAATTCAAACTAGTAGTAGTTTTTCCCTTGGTTAGGACGGTGCTAGCTATTGTACAATTAGCACCGTAACTCCTCCCTAATGGCGCGGGTTGGGTGGTATCTCCATACTCATACTTTTTATGGATTTTAGGTCGGTTAATTTTATTTTGGAGATCGAGTTGAACATATGAACATGAAATTTCGAGAAAAAACATTAGTAATATTATTATTTTTTCATTAAATATTAAGAAAAAATTATAAGAAAATAAATACAGTTAAATTATTCCAGAAATTTAGCTTCTCACGTATTTACAACTTTATCATAGCTAAAAGTGATACAAGGAAATGTAAAATTCTCAGAATTTTGAATACTAAGTACATGTAATTAGGAAAAAAAATATGTAAGAAGATGGATGAGGTTGAAAAAAATCTATACAATACATAAAAGCCAAATGAGAAAACTTGAAGCTCCATTTCAAATTTCCTGCATTCAGAATGAAAATAGAAAGGACATGAAGGTCTCGCATACTCGCGACGATCGACGATGTCCATTACACAGCGACCTTCTGATAAAGTCATTATCTCTCTTCTGTCCTGTTGGTCCTTGAATGTCTGAAACAAAACTCTTGACATGTAAGTTTGGTTTTGGAGCTCCAAATATTCCCCACCGGCCACCGCTATGCACATCTACATTCTGTTTCTAACCTCTTCCAATTCCAAAACAACGTATATTGACGACGATAGGGGTGGGTATCAGTGCGGTTTGGACCGCATCGCACCGCATTGATATAAACCGCACCGCACCGCATCTTAATCGAGCCGCACCGCATCTTAATCGAGCCGCACCGCATTTCGACCGCTAAGTTATCGGTGCGGTCAAATCAAACCGCATAAATTAACGGTTTGATACGGTTTAAACCGCACCGCATCTAGACCGCAATTCATTACGGTTTGTACATAATTAAATAAAACTCAAACCCACCCAACTGAAACTAAGTTCCACAGAGTAGCTCTCCATTAACATCTCATTACGAAAGAGAAAGACTGTTAATGTGGGTAACATAGCATAAGCAAAAGTTAAGTATAGACTGATGACTCACCATTTCTAGAGTAATCTAAAGAGCTGATGTAGTGGTAATTGCCTCTAAATTTTGTGAAACCAGTACACTAAAACCTATTTGGTGCACTTCACTCACAATTACACAGAAACCAACTAAGTCAAGAAAGCATGAATTGCAACTCTAGAGAAGAAAGACCTGGAAACCGCAACATAAAAATGGTGATGGAGAAGAAAGAGCTTTACCAATTTCAATTAGGCTTACTGGTTTCTATCCTGTCTCTTCCAGTACTCTTTTGTACTGCCTACAGTTCCAAACGTTCTTGATAAGCAAAGAGACAATGCAGCATAAAAATGGCGATGGAGAAGAAAGAGCTTGACCAATTTCAATTGAGTGCGACCCTGGATTTGAAGAGGGCAAAGAGCTTGACGGACGACGATCTCGATGAGCTGAAAGGGTGTTTGGATCTTGGATTCGGTGGGTTTAGCTACGACGAGATCCCCGAGCTTTGCAATTCGTTGCCGGCTCTCGAGCTTTGTTACTCCATGAGCCAGAAGTTTCTTGATGATACTGCGCAGAAATCTTCTTCTGCTGCCGAGGGAATGGATTCTTCTTCTGACGGAGTTGCTGCTTCGGATCAGGCTGCGAGCAGAGACGGCCGACTGCTGCTGAGGCTGTGGAATCGGCGTCGACTGAGCGGCCGACGGGAACGGAGACTGGATCGACGGAAACGGCTGGAACAGAGTGTTCGCAGACGAGGCCGCTGCTGCGATAGCGGAAACCGACGGGGAGATCGCCGACTGGTCGAAGCCGACGGCGGAAGCAGCTCGCGAGGTGCAGAGGCGTACTCAATCAGATTGTGGTTTCAACTTCTCACTTCTGCGTACTCAATCTTAGCGGATTGTGGTTTCAAACCGCAACCGCGCGGTTTGGGTCAATCCGAACCGTAAACCGCCAAGCACTTAACGATCAGACCGCAAATGAAACCGTTAGTTTAATGATGCGGTTTGGATTGACCGCATAAACGGTTTGGGGCGATTTGGAGCGGTTTGGTCAAACCAATACCCAACCCTAGACGACGAGCTCTGGCAAGTGGATGGTTGCTCAAATGTTTCCAGGGAACAAGAGGAAGGCATGCATATCGACTGAGGTGTGCAAACATCTGAAACTCCCATTAGAGAAGATCATGGTAATTAAGCTGCTTATCTCATCTCCACCTTTCACCCTATTTCGCCTACACCATTCATCCAATTGTTTCTGTTTTGGCAGGGATTCTATTAGGTCTCTTGAACACGATGGTCTCGTATACTCGCGCGACGATCGACGATCTCCATTACACAGCAACCTTCTGATAAAGTCCTTATCTCTCTTCTGTCCTGTTGGGTCTTGATTTGATAGTAGTACTAGTAGGTGCAGTAGACAGACATATGCCGTGTGTGACAAGCGACACCATTTCATCATTCGTTTTCCATTTGGCACATATCGTCATCCGGGAAAAACAAGCAAGCCCACCAAGTGATTGGGCCAATTCGAGTCGGCCCACTTGTGCACCATCCCGTGTGATCACCGGATCGAAGCCCAAAATATCCAACACGAAGTGATTCTCCCGTCTCTTTCATGGGCTGGATCATGAATGATTGTGGATGAGGGGAATCGCGAATGTCTCACTCGATTGGACAGCTAGCTTGCACAGAAAGAAAGTAAGGATACTGATACTGTGTCTCCCGCTGGAATCTGGGATGTCGTCGACACGTGGCATTTTGGGGGACAATGGCGACACTGTTCACGTGATAGCCCACCACCTATCCACCCCTCCTCTGCTATCTTTCTCACTTGCACACGGCTGGAGGTTCGTCGGCTCAGCTTGCTTAGTGAAACCTACTTTTTTTTTTTTCTGTTAAAGAGAGTGTATAGGTCCGGCGCCCACACACGTAGAGTTGGCTATTTGGTCCCGGACTGTTTGGTTTTACCCGAAACCGGACCGTATAACCCGGATCGGGACCGGATAGCAAACAATGCAATCTCATATTCGGGCTTAGATTCGAGGTAAAAAACCGGATAAGAGACTCCCAACACCTTAAATTAAGATAAAATTGGAACCGGACAGGATTGTATCCAAGTCCATCTTTGGTCCTTATATTCCCGAAAAAATCGGACTGGGACCGGATCAATTTGGTCCAATTTAACCGGACTAGACCGTATAGCCAGCCCTACACACACGGCCACAATCCGCATAACCAAGTGACCTTATGGCTTATACATTCAAATTGCCAGGAAAAAGACTAGATACGGAATCCTTATCATTCCCTTGAAAGGCGGGGGGGATCCGGGGATGTCGCACTCACTCAACTCACTTCATAGTAACGGCGGCTGACTCTCCATTGGAATCTGAGATGTTGACACGTGGCTTTTATGGTGGGGCCTAGAGGGGCTGAGGGCGGGGAACACGTGTGGCCACTCTTCACGTGAACAACCATGTCTCACTACATCGACGGGTGATGATTACCAAATGATTGCATGCATAATTGTTACTGCATGGAGTCAGGGACTGCAAACGAACTTCCTTATCCACTAATCATTCGCCCATATCATCTTCCATAATGAATCGTCGACTATATACAATGTTTTTCACCTACTCATGGTCTGATTGAATGACCCAGGCAGAGAAAGGTCCAGTGGGCGCCATTAAGCTTTAGAAAACAACAAGTGAGCGAATGGCATGCTCAGAGTGGCGTAGCTAGAATTTCGTATTAGGTGGATTATATTTTTTTAGATAAAGGTGAGATAAGTTTGTTTTTCAGAAGAAAAAAAAATCTTAAGATAATTTCAGAACTTAGTCCTGCGACGTGTTTTCATATTTTGAAAAATTTGCAAGACATATATTCGTATGATATTACTGGTAGTAGAAATATTGACTAATATTGATAAGATTTATGGTTCAAATTTCAGTGACACTTAAAAACTGTATTTATATTTACGCGTTCTTCGCGATCTTCCGCATTAAGGGGTGGGTCACGGGACGACCCACACGCTCTTTTTACATTGGCTCCGCCATCGGGCCTACTAATAACTCGTGTTTTATGGGACCAATTCGTTTATGACATGGTATCATAGCTGTTTGTATTTGATGTCACTTTTTCAAGTCTTCACGACCCACCAATACCCGTGATCTTAAAGCATATGGTATGACGGACTTGTTCAAACTTCAAAATCTGTACATGAACATATCTCCATATAACTCGAGTTATTTGAAACGTAACTATATGGTTGGTTCATGACAAAATCAAAGATGGAGAAACCAGAATTCACTATTTAAAAAAAAAAACCCTTGTATATAGTAGAAAGTGTACAAGAACACAGAAACCCATTCGTGATATCAAATCACAGCTAGCCACAGCTGACAACCTATACACAAACTTACCTTCCAAGCATAAAACAACCGACCAACCAACAGAGACACTCAATTATTTGTATTTGCATGGATCCATGCATGCACGCATGCAGCTCTTTGCTGACTGCAATATAATATAATATAGTTATTGGATGTACTCATCACGGACGTGGAAGAGGTTGGGGTTCTTGACGACGATGTCGTACATGTAGACGGAGCTGAACCTCTGGAAGTCTCGCGGGAGGGAGATGAGGTCGATGGAAGACCTCTTGTGGAACTGCAGCAGCTCCGGCTCTCCGCCGCCGCCGCCGCCGTAGTACCTCTCCCACCCCAAACCGAACAGGATGTGCTCCAGCGCCGAGTAGGAAGTCACCGCCTGCCCGCTCGGCAGGTGCACCAAAACCTTTGTCCTCCTGCTGCTGCTCTGGCGGCTGCCTCCGTCCATGTCGCTGCAGTTAGGGTTCTCCACCAAGCGGATCACCCCGTTGTTCTTGAACACCCACACTCCTGACATTATGTGCTATACAATGATATGTGTGATCAGTCTGTTTGTGTTTGAGTAAGAGAGAAGGTTCTTGAACAGAAGTAGGTAATGTTGGTGGTGATGAGGAAGAAGGGGAGATGATGATGAAGGTATTTATATTACAAGGAGAAGAGGATGGAATCTAGATAATATTGTAGCCAGGACCAACCTGGATGCCCTAAACCCATAATAAAGATTAAAGTGTTACGTGCCCAATATTCTTTGTCTCCCTCTCTTGGGTTATAGCTTTGGGTTTTGCTTTTTGTGCATGGGAGATTCTTTCTTTGTAAGGAGTGGCCGGGGGGAGAATCATGAAATGATATAGCTATATGTTATTGCAGGTATAGATCGAGAGAAGTCAATCCAACAACAATTGAACGACGTCGTTTTCAACCCACATTGTCGCACGAGCTGTCCACGTGAAGCAAGCGATGGGCCGCCCAATGAATACGACAACTTACTTATACTACTCTCATCATCTCCTTTAATTTCTCCCTTGGGCGGGCCATTGATCAAACCCCACGTACGACTCCATTGATCAATATACTTGCTGATAATATATGCGAATTTGGTCACTATATTTGATGATATATAGAGATTTCAGAGATTGGAAATGTATATATAACATATTCTCTCCAAATGCATGCGGCCAAACCCTAATCCAACTTAGGAAAGGAGAAAAGCTACACAACGAATGTACAAAACGGTAAAACAAACATGTGTATAAGGTTATGAACTAGTATGATATGATATTGTTATGGGACAATCCAAGTACCATATCGGTAATATAAGGGAACGAACCCTTGTATGTTAGTGTCCACCAAGCTCATTAGTACGAGGCCTTTTGGGGAGGACACCCAAGAGTAAAACAATGCGGGCTTGGCCCAAAGCGGGCAATATCGTACTAATTGAGCACCCCGATTATGACAAATATAATCAAGCAGGTCGCGACCAGGTGACCACCATGATCAATAGTTCAATAAACTAAGTATGAGGTTTATTATTATATCTAAATATTGTATGCATTGCATGGCATGCAGTTGCTCAATGCTTCCACATGAGATCACATGGGCTAAAATGGTCCATACACTGAAGGCTCACAACTGGATATTTTTCACTGCTTTTTTCCTTTTTTCTGCAAGTTGGATAATGTTGTTGTTCTGTGCTAAAAAGGAAATGCAAGAGAGGAAACAAGTTGCCCCCCTCACTGCTTAATTAATTTTGAGAGGCTTTGGAAGGACAAAGAGACTATTCATATGAGAAGAGAGGCTTTATGGTAGAGGGTGGCCAAAAGTGTCATCTCTAACTGTGATTGCTACTGATGTTTTGTGAATCTATTGATTCTTGGATGTGGGACTTTTTTTTTTTTTACTTGGCAACTATATGTATTGTACATACGTACACACGCGTCAAAATGTAGTAAAGTACATTCAACGATCAAATCAGATAAAAGTACTGTATATACTTTAAGACTACGTACGTACTTTATACATATAAATATAAATGATAACATATCCATGTTGTAGTAGTTTTAACATCTGAGGAATGACAGGGAAATACGCATATTTTACACAATACTCTGTATGGATTTCTGGATAATCAAATAATTTAATTAGAGTGGAAGGAGAATAACCAGCCAGCTTGTATGTGGTCCGGTAGTGGAAACTGGAAAGAGGTTGGAAGGGAAATTGAAAGTAGCCATAGCAGTCGTTTTCTTGTGAGACCAAAGCCCAATATTCCTGTTTAAGAAAATTCTAATTCTATCCCTACCCAAATGGGAAAGCATTTTACTAAAATAGCGCACACAATTTAGAGTGGTTTAATTTGGTTTTTTTTAGAGTGGTTTAATTTGATATGTATAGTACATATAATGTCTATTGGAAGAGCCTTCATATTCTACTATACTTTAAAGTATTGGTATATATTTAGAGATACAAGACAAAAGTTCTATTTTGTATCTCATAAACAAAATGATCTGCATGCCAGCTCTATAGCATTGTAAAATTCCTCTTCCGGGGATATCATCTTCATTTAGAATAAACAATTTCGAGTCGTGATTTGGGGTCAGGTTGGATTAAAAGTAATCCATTATATAAAACAAAATTTTTACTTAACACGATACATATAAACAAATGATATGAGTAACAATTAAAGCATATATATAATAGATTTGTGATTGGGGGAACTTAGTATCACACATTAGTTTGGACATTCACGGGTTATAACCATTCAAATCCGCACCCAATCAACCATAAGACTTCGATTTTTTTTAAAAAAAATTGTAACACAAATCTACCCATAAAACTTAATATTCTCATATATGAATGAATCTGTCTTAGACGGATCATTCGGTTCTGGATTTGTTTTGTTCACCATTCATGTAAAATGATTGTGGATGGGGGAATCGTGAATGTAAAGATACTGATCTCTAGGTCACCCCCTGGAAATCCGGGATGTAAGATGTTGACACGTGGCATTGTGGGGCCCAAGGGAGGACACTGTTCACGTGATAGCCCACCACCTCTCCACCTCTCCGGCGCCGCCCCACACGGCCACAATCCGGGCAGATGTCATTGTCGTCGTCATTGGCAGAAATATTAGGGCAAGCAAAGAAGAAGATGATCAGATTATCAAATGATTGCATATATAAAATTGTCACCCGGCCGATACCAACACGTGGATCGGAAGGAACGTTGCAGTCGTGCAGTGCTAATTGTCACTCGCATGCACTCATCAGATTGCAAACTAATTAACTACCTTATCCAGTATTACTAATTAATCATTGACCCATAGCATCTTCCTGTTGGGACTTTTTGGGACGAGCTAGGATACCCGGTTTAACTTGGTAATTAGTTCGGTTCAACCAAATTTCCCCCTCACCATCATCTTTCATACTTCGTTTTTCACTTACCGAGACTGATCTGATTGAATGAGCTATGGCATATGGCCGGGAAACAAGAAAAAGACAACGAGCCAAAAACATAATCGCAAAAGCCAGTAGAAGAAGACACCATATATATATATGTATACCACTATCAAAGGAAGGGGTTAGCATATAATTCATACACGCGCGCGGACGTTTTTCAATAACTCGATTTATTGGGATTAGTTAGTTTATGTCATAGTATTAGCTAGAGAGCTCGTCGGTCGTTTGTCCTTTTGTTTTGAAGCACACATGACATGTCGGATTGTTCAAACTTCGAGTCCATAATATTTTTGTTTATTTTCGTTAGAAGGGGTGCTAAGAAAGTTGTTAAATTTTTTTAAATGAATATCTATAAATCAAACTGCTGGAGAAACCAGAATTCACTCAATAGAAGGAGGGGGAAAAAGAACCTTGTATATAGTAGATATATAGTGTACGTACAAGAACACAGAAACCCATTCGTGATAACAAATCATACAGTTAGCCACGCATGCATGCATGCATGCAGCTCTGTACGTAATAGCGAGCTAGTGGATGTACTCATCACGGACGTGGAAGAGGTTGGGATTCTTGACGACGATGTCGTACATGTAGACGGAGCTGAACCTCTGGAAGTCTCGCGGCAGGGAGATGAGGTCGATGGAAGACCTCTTGTGGAACTGCAAGAGCTCCGGCTCTCCGCCGCCGCCGCCGCCGTAGTACCGCTCCCAACCCAGCCCGAACAGGATGCGCTCCAGCGCCGAGTAGGAAGTCACCGCCTGACCGCTCGGCAAGTGCACCAGCACCTTTGTCCTCCTGCCGCCAGATTCCATGTCGTTGCTGGGGTTCTCCACCAGGCGGATCACCCCGTTGCTCTTGAACATCCACACTCCTGACATTATGTGTATATATATAATCGAGCGAGGTATGTAGATGATGATGTCTGTGTGTGAGAGAAGGTTCTTGAAGAGAAGTAGGTAGCTAGTGTTGGTGGTGATGAGGGAGAAAGGGGAAGATGGTGAAGGTATTTATATAATATTACAAGGAGAGGAGGATGGAATCTAGATAAATATTGCAGGACCCACCAAGATGCCCTAAAACCATAAAGTCTTAAAGGGTTCATCAAGCCCAATATTCTCTGTCTCTCCGGCCCTCTCTATCCTGATCGATCTAGTGGGTGATAGCTTATGGTTTTGCTTTTCTGAATGGGAGATTCTCTTCTTTGGAAGGAGTGGCCGGGGGAGAATCATGAAGTGCTATCTAGGAGATATCTACGGGTAGGGCTGGAAGTTCGGTTATTTCGGTTATAATCGGTAATCGACCGTTACCAAATTAATTGCGAGGGCAGTCGACTCTACCGTCAACCGACCGACAGATCCCATCGGTTATTCGATAACCGATCGGTCGGTTACCGGTTAGTTGTTCGGTTAACCGAGATAATCGCAACACCACAGTAGGCTCGGCCGGCGGCCGGGGACTGTGGCTGAAGGCGAGTCAGGAAGCTGATCGGGGAGGAGACGGCGGAGCAGGGGCGCGGGTCGAAGAGGGAGATGGTGGAGCAGGGAAAGCAAGGTCGCGGCGGCGCACTGGTCGCGGCGTGCCGTGTCGCTCTGGTCGCGGATTGGAGGGACAAGCTCGGCCAATTTCGTGCAAAGAGAAACTTGAGGAAGCACATATGAAAGGTAGCGCGCGGTATGCCGGTGGCACTCTGGTCGCGGCGGCGTCTGAAGTCACCGTTGGGGCCTGAGATTTGGGAAGAAGAGTGAACGAGAAGGACGAACTGGGAAACGCATGTCGCGATGCAGAGGCGGCCAGAAGGGAATTGGGGAGGCTGTGGGCGGCGTCGACGATTTAGGGTTAGGGCTGGAGACAGTGGCTTGGCGGCATCGTTTTGTGTAAAATGAGGGGGTTATTTGTGTCGGTTAGCCGATTATCCGGCGGTTATCACCGGTCGGTTAGCCGGTTAACCGCCACAACTAATCCTCCTACCGAACACCGACTGAGGGACGATTTTTCGGTTAGTCGGTTAACTGATAACTGCCGATTATTGGTTTAACCTGCCGGTTAACCGGCAACCGATAACCGAACCTCCAACCCTATCTACAGGTTATATAGGTTTACATAGCTAATTGCAGGTATACAAGTCAATCCAACAATAAAGGAACGACGTCGCTTTCGACCCACATTAGCGCACGAGCAGTCCACGTGAAGCAAGCGACGGGCACTCATCTGCTTTAAATTTCTCCGTTTCTTCTCGGAAGGCTACCGCGTGACAATTGTTGGGATCTATTTATGTTAGCTAGGGTTTTGTTCTTTGTGGCCAAATCGATCGTTCCCACTATTAGGGCTCTAAGGTGTTACTTAGCTTGTAATTCACTTATTATCCGCTTAGGATATGGAAAGAAGCGAATTTCATTGTCTCAATTTTCCTTATTTTCTTTCGATCGGTCTTCGTATTATTGGAGGGGTAGTCGCGTGCGTTCTAACGTTGAATACCGCATCAACTCGTGTCTTGCATGCTTTCGCCGTCGCGACATGCAAAATATTCTTTTCAAACCTAGCTAGCTAGCTAGCTCTTTCGAGAATATATGAATGTCATCTGTATATCACTTCATGATTAATCTTCACTGCATGGCATGCAGTTTGCTCAATGTTTCCACATGAGATCACATGGGCTGGGCTTAAATGGTCCATTCTGGTTCCATCTTTCTTTACGTCCCCAGTCCTGTGGTGATCCGACCCACCATGCACACGAACTGTAGCCTCACAACTGGACATTTTCTCTGCTTTTTTCCTCTCCTTTTTTTTTTTCCAGAGAAAATGTCCAGTTGGATGATGTTGTTGTTCTATGCTAAAAAGGAAATGCAAGAGAGGGAGCAAGTTGCCCCCTCTGACTGTGACAGCTGCTTTTGAGAGGCTTGGGAGAACAGAGTGTATTGAGATGAGCAGTGGCGGACCGAGGATTTTGGGATAGGTGTGTCAGCTTATAAAAATAAATTAAAAAATTAAAATTAATATAAAATTTTATTCATAAATTTCACCTAGATTCATTATTTTTTATAGTGAACCATGATGAGTTTTCATATTCTGAAAGATTTCTTAATTACATTTGTCCATTGGGTTGCAATCAAACCTTTTTTATGTAAACAACTAAACAATATCATAAATTGGTCACTCAACACTCAACTGATACCAAATATCATTCTTGATTATGCTCATATATGAAAAATGTCATTTTGTAGCTGGCAGTTGCAAGAGGTAAAATAAACACAAATTTAAGATGGGAAAGCTGGAATGAGAAGCTCGAAAGGTGGCCGCAAGCGTCAAAATGGAAGTTTGAATGAGAATGAGGATGTCGTCGACACCGGCAATTGGAGGGTGGCGACAGATGTCAACGTGGAAATCAATAACTAAATTAGAAAGTAAGTTGGAAATTAACTTAAAGAAAAATCTAAGGAAGAAGCTACGGGGAAAGACGACATGTAATTCATTATCTAATTACTTGACTCAACCAGCTTATTAATCAATTCAATTCTCACACAAATTACCAAGCTAGGTTACCTCTAAGGTGATAACTATCTCTCTAAATGCTCACTACATACTAAGTGACCAATTACTCTTGTACAACCAACTAATTAACTACCTAGTCTAAAGTCCGATAACTTCTATATTTACATATTTTAATAATATTATGACAACAAAAATTTTGTAACGTAACAAGATTTGTCGGCAAGTAGGAGCGGTCTGGTCCGCTTTTCTTTGCCGTTTTTTGTGTGTTCTTTGTTTTGCATTTCGTTCTTTTTGTTCCTTTTAGTTTTGTTACTCGTTGCATCGTGAGATCAATCCTTGTGATCTCCCTTGCGTGTATAGTCTTTTGTTTTTTTTTTTCTGTTCCCTTTAGCAATAAAAGTTCATCGCCACTATAAAAAAAACAAGATTTGTCGGTTACAATTATCGAAGGTGTGTCGGCGAGGTTCCGTGTTCAGATTTTTTAAACCTGAAAAATACGGGTTATTCACAAAATTTTTGCACCATGGTGTGTCGGGTGACACACCTACCTGGGTCCGCCCCTGGAGATGAGCATCAGTACTAATTTTTAGGTTGAAACATGCGACACATAGATTAAGTGACCTTTTATCGCCCTACTTAATTGCCGAGTAAAGTATCCCAACACAAAATATTAGTGCAAATATTTAAGCTTAAGTACTAGTTTAGTGGTGGCTCCCAACCTTAGTGGCGTGGAGCCGTGAATCATTGCTTGCGAAATGGGTTCCAAAGAATTGAAACCTTAAATATCTTTCATGGGATCTATACCGAATAATATCTTTATTAATCTGTATAGTTAATTGATCTATACCTTGAGGTGAATAAAGGGATCGATGATTAGTAATAAACAATTTGGAATGCGTTAGTAACCAACAAGAAATGAATGAAAAATAAGGAAAAAAGACAATAAAACAAGTGGAAGTATTAGAAAGTCTGAGGTTGATATTTCGATACATATATTCATGGCAGCTCAGATAACTTATCATGGGGCACGGGTCGAGGAAAGGTCGACCCATTTAGATATGCAATTTAAAAAGAAAACATTGGAATATTTATTTTTCATTAAATATCAAGAAACAAACTATAATATATATATATATATATATATATATATATATATATAAAAGTACAGTTATATTATTTGAGAAAGAGGTTCTCACCTATTTACAACTTCGTTATAGCTAAAATATGAGATCATAAATGTAGAAGGCTAATTAAGTTGACTAAATTGCATGTAATTCAGACAAAAACAAGTTGAGAGTTGAGTGAGTCGGGACAGGTCAGATCTAAAAAAGTACTCATGTTCGCCTTGTCCCGTCTACGAAACGGATATTACCCTTCCCAAAATACGTCAAACAAGTCGAATAAAACATATTAGATCGAATTTATTTTATCTAGATATAGTAGAGATAACGTTTCCATGATATAGCATCTTCATTCTCGATCAATAACATCAGACGGGCTTGGGCTTCTTTGGGCGAACAGAACTGGCCCATCATTTGAACGAATGCAGGCCCGCACTGATCCCAGGCTGAAAGAAACCAAAAGGAGGCCCATTCTGGCCCATCAATCGAACCCAAGGCAGGCCCACACTGATCCTCGTCACTTCACTTGCATGACCGACCACACAAATATGGCCGAATACCAATCCCGATCCAATGCGGACTTCCGAATTCTGCTCAGACGAACAACTTTCCGGCCAACCAACCAACCGGACTCCAAATCGTCCATTCTTTTTTCCGGCCACTTTCTTTATTTAGTCCCCAACTTCCTACTCTCCCGTTCTCACTAAGCTCTCCCCAAAACAAGCTCCAACCTAAGAAAATAACAGAGTTCTCGTTTACTAAATATACACTAACCCACACTCTGTCAAAAAATAGGGTCCAATTTGTTGCTATAAAATGGCTACCCCAATCCTCTCCATCGTCATCATCAAGAGCCTTACTTGATCGATCTCTCTCCCACCTTCAACAATCGCATCCCCGCCGGAATAATAAACCGACAATAATAAACACCAGGGCTAAACTTTTTTTTTTTTTTCCAGGGCTTTTGTTTGAATAGGAGACGAATAATCCCCCAAGGCAGAAAGGGAAGAAATCGGAGAGAAATGGAGACTCAGAACTGGCTCTTCTTCGCGGCGGTCTGCCTCCTGTCCATTTCCTCGGCGTCCGCCGCCGGCGGCAGCTTCAACATCACCGAGACGCTCGCCAAGTACTCCGACTACAACCAATTCAACCAGCTCCTCTCCCAAACCGGCCTCGCCGATGATATCAACAACCTCGGCACGGCCACCGTTCTCGTCGTCAACGACGGCGGCGCCGGCTCCATTTCCGGCCAGTCGAAGCAGGTGATCAAGAACACCCTGATGCTGAACGTAATCATGGACTACCTCGACAGCAACAAGATCAAGAGCTGGAAGAGGCGCTCGGTGACGTTCACGACCATGTACCAGAGGACCGGCGAGGCCAGCGGCGACCAGGGCCAGATCAACATAACCAAGTCTGACAACAACCAGGTCCAGTTCGGCAACGGCGGGGCAGACGCGCAGCTCACCGCCACGATGCAGAAGGTGGTGACGGCGGTGTCGCCGCTCTCCGTCATCGAGATCAGCAACCTGATCCAGCCTCAGTGGATTTACAACAAGAAGGCTTCGTCGCCAAAGAAGGCTACGTCGCCGAGCCCATCCAACGCGCCGGCGCCGTCCAGGAGGCACAGGAAGGAGGCTCCTCAGTCGGCCGAGTCACCGGAAGCTGACTCCCCTCCACAGCCTGACGCCGATGCTGAATCCTCCGATACACCGGCTCCGGCACCTGGAGGCGCCCATTCTGCCGCTTCTTCTCCCTCCGCCCCTGCGGCTGCCTGCGCCGTGCTTCTCGGATTGATGGCATTTGCTACGGGTTTCTGAAGCTTGCCGTGACGAGGAAGAAAACACAGTAAAAGGGTTGAAAAGGCTGGGCGTTAGCAAACTGCAATAATATGATCATAGAGTGATCGGCTTTCACTTTCCTATTATTAGCATACACCACAGCTTTTTTTTTATGTATCCGCCATTCTGATCTTCATCCTCTCTTATTTCCTCCCATTTATGTAAGCAGCATTAGAGAAATAAAATTTTCAAAATGGAAAGCTTGCATCAAGAACTCTGTCTCGGTCTCACGGGTTACCCTTCTCGACGTTTTACAGCGTAAATCAAAGCCACTCAAGCCAATCCAACACCAAGCTAAACATGTAATGTAACTCAAGATATACAGTGCAGGAATATCAAAAGTTAAGAGCAGAAGGAAGGAATTCAAGAATGGAATTTTTCATTGAAGTTGATACCAGGGCAAGGCTAGGGCAGAGAGACTGTGTAGCAGAGTTGCAGCTACACAAATGTTTGATCTCTGCCCAACAGCAATCAGAATACAGACCAATGACAGAACTGACAGTTTCTGACGATGAATTCATCCAAAATGAGCTCTGTGTCTGTGTTAAAGCTACGGAACTGAGCTTGTAAACCAGCCGCAAGAAGTTTCAGAGCAACCAATCTAAAGCAATTGAGTTATATATATGTACCTCCGTAGCAAGAAATGACATGTAGTTGGTACTCTAATAAAATGCCTCCCCAAGGACCAACACAAGTTAAAACCCTTTCCGCTGCTCACTCCAAAAAAGATACCCTCCCGAGCAGCGAACCAACCTGCTCCGCCACTGGATTTGGCTGTCATTTGAGCTTGCTAGCAATGTCTGCCACAACTTGATCCATGTCAAGATCCTTCATTGGCTGGAATGGGCGCTTCATACCCTGAAATAGAGGTGACCAAAAAGTTAACAGGGAACACCAGAAATAAAGCAACTGCAACGTGATAAAAGTTTGAACACATAATTGAACAGATGTATGGCCATTGTTTTTACCAGAAGACTGATGAAGACTCTGCCTCCTTCCTCTCGTACCTCGAAGCAACCCCTCCTAGGCTGGTGATGAGAAATTTATCAACAATTAGACATCGACTGAAAGACAAATTGTCGTCCCCAAAACTACTATAACTAGCAACCTTCCAAGTAAAGGCGATGCAAGACATTTATATGGTAAAATTCAGACCATTGTTGAGTTCTAAACCAACAATTGGACTAACATCTAACGAAGGGACAGACTGGAAATGACGCGCATTCACAGTTTTGACTGATGCAAGTAAACCACACGCATTTTGTATTCTAGTTGTGAACATCCCGATGAATGACAGAAACGAAACAACGACTTGGTATTAGTACAAAATTTCACAGCGACAGAATCAAAGTTGTGGCAGTTTATATTTGGAATATTAGTCATAAGAAGACGTTCAGCGGCTAAAGATTAAGTTCACCAATCAGGAGCACGGAAAGGAAGAAGAAAAACTAAAAGCTTGTCGACGTACCGGCCCATGAGGATTGAGCAGCACAGTAATCCCAGGTACAGCTTCCACCAAGCCATCTTTCACCTTATCAGCCCTCACCTTGAATTGTCTGCATTGTTTGCTGCATGAACCAAGAAACATTCACCATGTGTACCAAAGAAAGATACCAAGAACGGAATGAAAGCAACAGAAAGTAGACAAACGAGCCCAAATGTCTTCAATAGATTGAAAATTGGGGTTTTCCTGTTCTTCAATCTTCATCTCCAACTGTTTAGTTGAAGCTGAAGATTGCACTAATTACAATGTTCATGACTTATACAACATCCACATCCCTGAATGTCATATTTCCTTCAAAATTTCCACAGCTCCTCAAAATAATGAACCTTATCCTAGGCTCCAAGCTAAACAATGACGCAAAAGACAATAGCAGAGGCTGTTTGCAGGGCAAGCCACACATCAGGCAGAGATTTTTGTAATCATCATCTTCCATTTCTTTCCAGATAGAAAGATGAAAAGAAGTTATGATTCTGCGATGAAAAAAAGCATGAAACAAGAAGAAAGAAGTTTGTGATTCTGCAATATACAATTTGAACAACAACTCCAAGGGCCAGAATGAGTTCTAGAGGTTCTAACACCACCACCACAAGGGGTTAAACTTTCTTTTGATTAGTGAGCTTTACCAATTTTCCATCCCTGGACAAGAATAAAAATAGATTTCTCAGAACTTCCATTTCTTTCAAACCGTTACTTTGATCAGGATTCAGGACCAAACATAATTTAGTACGTAGGCAAACTTAGACTCAAATCGTTTGACAAATCCATGGTCAGGACCAACACAAATTACAAAACCTGTGTACCCTTCATCGATGGAATCTTATTCAGAGCTACATCATAAAAACATGACCACACACGAAACCCTAATAAGCAGGCAACGAAGTCTAATGCCGCCCCTCAAGCCAATCTGTAAGCGTTAATCCTGGATATCACTTTCCAATTTGCGTTTCTTTAGGTCGCTATCAACCATGGATATCAATGGAAGCCAAAACAATGAACTAAAATCTTCCAGAATCTCCTAGAGTTCGTTTCTAGTAAAGGAGCCATAGCTTCACAGCACTCAGAGACAAGAACTAGAACAGAGAAATCTAGAAATATCTGTACCCTAACTTTCTCAGAAGCCAAACGTACCTGATACATCGAACGAGACGAAGAAGTTCTCGGGGGAAAAAGAAAACGAGAGCTAGCAGGAACGAAATTCTCCAATCTGGAAAATAGCTATTCGTAACAAAGCAAGACCTAAATACTCACTCAAGAGCTACGAACTAGAGCAGATAAATCTCGAAAATCTAGTAGTCAGCTTTCTCAGAAGCCAAACAGACCAGAAACGAGACGCAGTAGACGGAAAGAAACAGAAAATGAGAGAGAGAGAGAAACAATCACCAGTGCTCGATGACCACAGTCCTCGCCGCGGCACTGCCACCGTTGTCCTGCTCCGGCGCTTCCACCCCCTTGCCAACTTTCTCGGCCTCGCCAACATCATCCTTAGCTTCTCCGTCGCTACCGGCCTTCTCAGCGTCATCCTCCGGTTTAGCAGCTTTATCAACAACTCCTTCCGCCGCACCGTCACCTGCCGGCTTCTCCTCCGTTTGCTCCGGGTCCGAGGGCGGCGCTGGGACTTCCTCCTCGGGCTTCGCCTCCTGCTCCTTCGGAGTTGGGGTTTTCGCCTTCTTCTTCTTAGGCGAAGACTCGTGGCCGAGGGGAGGGGTTAGATTCAGTTTCCCCACAGCAGTCTGGCTACGGGTCGCCCTTGCCGCAGTCACCGTAGAGCCGCGGGTCGCCCGCTTCTCTCCTTCGACAGCCGGACGCTTCTTCGGAGCCATTGACGGAGGCAGAAAGGGCAAAATCTAGCAGAGGACCGCTCTCTTTCTTTCTCTCTCTCTCTCTTCGTTCTCACTTCTCGGACTCGCTTCTGCTACTGGGAAATGAGAATGACGTTTTGCGTGACAGGTTCTTGGCTTCTTGCAATCTCTTCGATTTCCCGCGGTTTTGTTCTGGTTGATTTTGAATGGACGGCTTGGATCAAACATACTTATGAAAATTTCGATCTGGATGGCTATAACTGCACCACGTGTAAAGATGGAGAGGTTTAGGATCCATAGTCCATACCCTAGGCCCTAGGGCTTTTCCATCAAAATAGTGGCGGAAAAGAATGGATGATGGAAAATATCTTTTTTTATTATCTTTAAGGTAGGGGTGGGCATACGGTTCGGAACCGAATGTAAATTGAATTGAAATCGAATTAATGTTATTCAGTTCGGAATTTGAAAGAGAAAATGGTATATTTTGGAAATCAGGGTCCTTTCGACCGAACCGAATTTCTGAATTCCAAACCGAAAAACCAAATTGTTATAATTGTAAGCTCCAAATGGTGGATTTTTAAGTTTCTACTTATTACGAGGCTTAAATATTTGAATCATGTTAATGTTTTATGACTTATGTATTGAAATGTTTGATTTTATCATTGATAATGCATATTTATTGTGTACATTAGGGGTGAAAAATAATTTAAAAGAGAGAAGATACAGCCTAACCTCACAAGTTCGGTTTTGTATGAAAAAACGAACCGAACCGAATTATAATTCGGTTTGGGATTTAGGGAATTTAGGAAATTTGACATGTTTAATGTTGTCCTATTGTCGAAACAAGTTTGGTGGTCGGTAAAGAATTCAGTAAGTTGCTTAGCACAGATCTATAGAGCGAGATATCATCACCACCATCATTTTTTAGATGTAGCAGTTGTGTTCTTAGAATGCGACCCACCATATTTTTATCTAAATTTTGATATGATGTTAATGAGATTTCACATTCAAAATATTCGATCGCGGTAAATTTTGATTCATTACATAAGAAACCTTATACATGTTGACTGTAAAGGTAATTAACTATTAATGATCAATAAATTCTTATTCTTCTACTACATGATTATTTATTTATTAATTTATCTTTTATATTGATTTATTCCTAACTTAGGGCTGGCAATTTGGTCCATGACTGTTTGGTTTTACCCGAAACCGGACCGAGACCGGACTGGGATCGGATAGCAAACAATCCAATCTCATATTCGGGCTTAGATTTGAGGTAAAAAAATCCCGGAATCCCGGATAAAGACCGAATAAGAGACCCCAACACTCAAATCCCCAAAAGCTCAATCTAAAATCAAAATCAAATTGGGACCGGACCGGGTCAAGACCGGACCGGATCAAGACCGGAGTGTATCCATTCCAATCTTTGGTCCTTACATTCTCGAAAAGACCGGACTGAGACCGGATCAATTTGTTCCAATTTAACCGGACCGGACCGTATAGTCACCCGACTAACTACTCTAGCTTAGGCCCTACTTGTTGATAATTGTTTGTTCACTACCATAAATATAGAGGTTTCTGAGCATGATATGCATATACTTTTTTTGGTCATTGGATGAATATTCATTTTATTCGTATATGCCCATCTGGCATCTAGGGTTTTATTGTTTCCTAAAAGCCTATTTTACCTTCGCTTTGACATTTTCTTTCATTTTCTTTACATTTTCTTTCATCCTCAAACATTCAACACAACTCCTCCAATTAATAGACTTAAGTGGGTTTTAACCTTGTTTTCTCCATTGGATTTTGTCGCTCTGAAAGTACTTGTGCACAATCCACTTCATTTGTACAAACTAAAACACCACACCCGTTTAAGAATTCTACATTATGGAGAAACTAATAAAAAATTATAGAAAAAGGGTTTAGTCACTATAAATGAATAATAATCTACTACTTTTCAGTATATAAAGAAATGCAGGTGTATTAATATCTCTAATTTGTCGTATAATTTGAAAAATGGTACAATAATTTATCTAAAGTGTCTGGGTTAAACTTTCTGGCAAACAAATAACAAGGTCGCTTCACTCCATTCCAGAAGCAAGGTCTCCACGTCGTTACTTTCTGTTCATAGTTGTCAGAATGTCAATCACCAATACCATTGACGAAAACTTAAAGAAAGAAAAATAGAAAGTGTTTGTACCTTTCCTTCACTTGTGACATGTATGGCCTCGTCGATGGTCTGTAAGCAACAACATGAGAAGTAAATAAAGTTATTTCACAACTAGATCATATGAAAATCTGCCTATCATGTGGGCTATCAGCGTGTGCTAACATTATTTGGATCGTCATCTTGTGCATTTCGTACGTTGAGAATACACCGCGATATACTAATTCAACGACTGAAAACGCGCCAAGATCAATCCAACAATGTAAAAACCTACTGATCGCCCCATGATCAACAGCATGCTAGCGCAATTAAGAGAGACTAGTTACACTAATTACAATAAGGTTGTGGATATTACAGTAAGGTTCTTGAGGAGCTCGTAGGTAATGTCAGAAGCTCTATAAGATCTTGGATGCCACTTCCCCTCGGACCAGTCGACATGTGTAACCGACCACTTTGCAATCCCTTCAGGATCAATCATCTGTACAAAGACCAAGAATTAATGGGTACCTACAGTAGATTGGAGTGAAGATGAATCATGACAGCATTCAGTATGCTCACAGTGAAAAATGTTTGCAGATAATGCTCATCAGAGTAGCAGTTCTTCCCATCCATATTCGGCTGCAAAATAGGGTACCAGATTAAACCAGTTAATCATCCCCTTCTCAAGATAATCACCCAGATTGATCATGTGGTTCATGTTAGGATGTAACTGACTCTGCAGTAGAGCTTGAATTTCTTGTAGTACAAGCTATCGGCCATGACTATGATAGCATGTTGTCGCTTCATGGAGAACCACTGCAATCCAAGTTTCGCAGCATGTACAGATCAGTAACAGCGAAAGGAAAGAAACTAGTGAATCAACTGCATTTTATCTACCTGAGCACCCTTTCGGAAATCGGAGTATCGAACCTCTGGCATCATGCGGTTTGAGTATCTGCCACTGCCATGCGGACCGGGATCCACATAGCTGAAGAGAAAAAATGAAACAGACAAACAGTGAAGTAATTCATTTTGTAACAAAATGTCAATACAATAAGGTTCACCGCTCGCTCAACCTCTGCCAACAACTCAATCTACTAAAACATGTTGGTTCTCGACATAACATCGGAGCCAATGATACCCAAAACTGGGACTGATAAGTTACCTATCGATATAGCTGACATTAGTGAACATCAGATGGTGATACACATAGTTGAAGGTACGGAGTGGTACGCAGCTGCAAAAGGAAATCAGCAGCAAGACAGGCAGTGCAATTAGTTTAGTACACACTTTTTGATAGTTACATTAGTTAACACAGAGATGGTAAGAAGTTTACCTCTCAGAGAGCAAGACAAACTGATGGTTATCTGGATCCAGAAGTGCATGTGCTAGTAGCCTCCTCTCTGCATCAACCATGGAGATTCTCCCCCACTCCACCTGTTACAAAGAAAACCCAGATACATAAATTGATTCACATGTCTAGATGGTCAAGTTGTTCTCAAACATCTTGCTACTTAGCAATTGTTCAACGGCCGATATGAATGTGTTAGTACGTGGTATAAGGCCTGATAACCAACTGGTTCTTGATAGAATGATGATACCTTTTCACTGCGGATTTCTCTGCCCACGAAGTAACGACTGCTATGAATCGGTTTGTCTCTGGAGGAATGTATGTAAACGGTGAACTTGTCTTCGTGACCCTGCCACCAGTTGATCAAACTTTCTTAGTCCCGCTCCATGAAAATGTGCTAGAAAAACACCAACGAAGGAAGAAAACAAGACAACCATAAGAGTCAAGAACTTACTACTCGACGATACCTGAAAGAATCTCTCCCAGAGCATCTCGAAAGGGAGCGAGGAAGGCGTCAAGAACATGAAGGCGATCTTGGGGGACCTGGAGAGCGGAGGGGGCGTGTTGAGGATCTCGCGGATCACGACGTGAGCCGAGGTCTCCTCGTCGGTGAACACTTTCGCCGGAACGACTCGGTCCCCGTCGTAAGTGGTGGTGCACCCGCCCTGATCGAAGACAGAGCAAGGGGCGGCGGAGACCGTGCTTCTGGGCTGGTAGAGGTAGTAGGCACTGATGAGGAAGATGGCGGCGAGGGAGACGAACAGCAGAATCCATCTTGGCGTCCGCTTCACATGAGCTCTCTGTCTTGAGGTGGCAGGCGTTATCAGGTAATCCCTCGTACCCATCCACCATGAACGACTCGTCTTCATTTACTTTGATCCAAAAGAATGCAAATCTCTGCCTACTAATCAAAACGTTACCATTAACAATGATGCCACCCAGAAGAAAGAAAAAAAAAAAAAAACTCCATTAATGCGAGTAATGTGATGCCCATAGTTGTGAATTGAACAATCAAGCATTCCAGACTGATTGGAAACCAGGAGAAGGGACAGATAAGTGGATCAAGAAAACGACAATGGCGGGATCGAAAGTACCTGGAAAAATTAAAATTGCAGTAGCTGTGGATTTGTCGACAGGAGGAAGGAGGAAGAGAAATGGAATCTGAAGCATGAGCTGCAAGAGATGTAAAATTTTGTAATTATTATTAATGTAAGATTAGAGAAAATTTTGAATTGAGAAAGACGGCAATAATTGATCCCCAGTTCATTAAACAAAGCTATAGAACAATTCAGTTGTTTTCTAATAATTATCACTGTCTGGATCCCTAATTACTTGTGAATTGTGATTAAATATGGTTTACTAGTTACAACAACTACTAGACATATAAATTCGAAATTTGGACAAATAATCAGAAAAAAATATCATTTTGACGACGAATTTATTTTTCCTGCTAAGAAAAGTCAATAAACTACATGGCACACGTAATTAAGCCGACTAATCATGCGTAATTGGAGACAATTTCAGACATTTTTCTGATAAAAACGTGGTAAATAGCTTATGCAATCATATTTTCATTTACAAAGTATGCATTTGATAAACAACAAGGAAAAATGGCATAATTTTCTGTCCGATCAGCTCAAGAACGACGGAGAAAGAAGAAATCATTTTGCAAGTAATAAGCAACAAGGAAATCATAATATGTCCCTTCCCCACAAACCCAACATACCGGATGAGTGGGCCGGCGGCGGCCTACATGGAAACCGGTACGATCGAGCTGCGCGCTTACAGTAGATTCCCCGGCGGCGGCCGCTTCCTCCACATAAAGAATCGGCTCCGACGACCAGAAGAGAAGGGGGAACTGTGAAGCCCAAGATGATGGGTTGAATCTCCAGCTAGCTAGTTGATTAAACAACCCAATTAAGAGAAATTTATTGCGCCAAATCTACATATCAGCGGAATAGATAGATAGAGAGAGAGAGAGAGAGAGAGGTTCTTTCCGGGCAGGACGGCTGGCCAAAATTTTATGGTGGATTGGAATATATGTGATGTGGGGATGTGGGTATAGGAATTAGACTTTTCTAATGCGGAAAAATCGATGAACAATAGTCTTTCAGAGAAACTCGGTCTTGGCTTTTAGGGGACGGCGAGCCCTGGAGGCGCCCACACAGGACAGCTACAAAGGACTTTCTAGCTACATCGATGGAACCAACCCAAAAACAAAGAGACAATGGTTCGATCGAAACAGGGACGGCACTAACAAAGAACCCATTTCTCAGAGCGAGAGAGAAAGCGACCTGTTTAACGAGCTTACGATACCATCAAATCTACGGGAAGCCATGGACGGGAACTAAACTTCCATTGATGGAGAAGAAGTCAAATACTAGGTAGTAATAATGGAGAGAGTGACCTGTAATATTTCTTGCAGCCAGTTTTCAGGGCAGGAGAGGTCCCGTCCAGTTATGGCGGGCCGGCGATCCAAGAAGTGCGTATACGGATTTCTATCTATGGGCCGTGGCCTGACTTGCTGCGGCCCGCCTAACGGACACGTGGATCATACGGCGAGTCAACAAGAACAAGAAGAGACTAGACTAGAGAGTGTAGTTGTTTGTAGTTGAAAGAGGAAAGGAAGTCTGAACGGCGATGGTGCGGTCACTGGCAGCTAGAGCTCTCAATGAGCCGTCGCTATCTGTATTCAAATTTCTACGGCGGATCGGTACTGCTCGGCCGCAACTGCAATCTGTTCGTGCGTTCTCGGCTCTCATGTCGCCGCCGTCCAAGGCGGTTGTTTACGATCAGCACGGCCCGCCCGATTCTGTTGTTAGGTAAATCCGCTCTCTGAAATTCGGTGGCGCAGTTAGGATAACGGTCGACGTCGGGCTGACCGGGTAGTTGTTTGGGCTCAGGATGGTTGAGTTGCCGCCGGTGGAAGTGAAAGAGAACGACGTCTGCGTTAGGATGCTTGCCGCGCCGATCAATCCTTCTGATATCAATCGAATTGAAGGTCGGGAGTTAACCTATGAAGTCTATTTTGTCGCAATCCCCTTGTTTCTGAAATTGTTTTCGTCTTTGGTTGGTCGTAGGAGTGTATCCTGTGCGGCCGCCGGTGCCTGCAGTTGGAGGATACGAAGGCGTTGGAGAGGTGTATTCAGTGGGCTCGGCGGTGAAGGAGTTCTCGCCCGGTGATCGTGTTATCCCGTCTCCTCCCTCTTCCGGTATGCGGCTCTCTCGCATTGAAATGAAAAACTGTCAGTATTAGGCCTGCTATAAAGCCAATTAGTAGTCTGTTGAAGAAGTACAGAATGTGAAATTGACATAATGTATTGACTTGCAAGTTGCAACTTCTGTTCAGTTTGAGAAGAAATGCGAACTTAGTAATGATCCATTGCCTTGGTAGTAGCCTTGATCAGAAGTATCAAATGTAGGTTTCCCGGTGGCTTTAATAGGTGGTTTTGTTGATGGTTAGGGACATGGCAGACTTACGTTGTGAAGGAGCAGGGCGTCTGGCACAAAGTTGATAAAGATTGTCCGATTGAATATGCTGCCACGATCATTGTTAATCCGCTGACTGCTTTGCTAATGCTTGATGATATCATTACTTTAAATTCAGGTGGGTATACTTCTTAAGGTTGATACTATGGAAGTTGGAATCTTTACCCCAAACGATTGTGTCTTACTTAAGTTTGACCGTGTTCAAGCAGGAGATTCGGTTGTCCAAAATGGAGCTACAAGTATAGTAGGCCAGTGTATTGTCCAGCTTGCCCAACTTCGAGGCATCAATAGCATTAATATTATAAGGGACAGGTGCATCTTCAAATTTTGATTATGTGAAGTTGGCTTCTTTTAGAGAGTGAGAGGGAGTTGGGGTTTGCATGCATCTCTTGTTTTACCTTTCCTTTTGGGGGTTTGGAATTCTTGAGTTTGAATTATATTTCAATTGCGTGGTTCAATGCACCTAATATCGTTCCCGATGCTGGAAATGTCAGCTGCTATGTATGAGGCAGATTTGGAAAAGATTGTGAATTGTCAAAATGATTGATGACTTTGGGCGAAAGGCTTCAATCTTCTGTTGCCAAATGATTGGTAGAAGTCTAAGAATCTTTTGTTGTTCTTTTATTTCACCTTCTCCTCGGTTTTAGCTGAAGTTGAGCCGCATAGCATGACTTTCTCCTGAAATTAGAAATTCAACTAGTCAGTATTTCGTGATAAGATCTATTGTTAAGGATAGATTCATCACTTTTTTCCTGTGCTTTAGTGGTTAAATCTTGACAAGGAGTAACAAGAAGAGTTATGTTGATGGTCTTTCTCTAGGTGAAATACTATATTCTGCTAGTGCACCAGGCTGGACTCATTTCATTCCACGATTTCTGCTTGCTCCAGGGTTGGGTCAGATGATGCAAAGGAAATGTTGAAAAAGCTTGGTGCCGATGAAGTTTTCACTGAAAGCCAATTGAATGTGAAAAATGTGAAGAGTCTCCTGGTATCATGATCTTCAAACCTTTTGACAATTCGCAATTCATAGTTACTGGGTTAGAGTGGTTATTATCTTCTGCACATTTTTTGTATCAATGGATTCTCATTGCATAAGCATATTTGCCAACTCACGAGCAGCAGAGCATTGGAATGCATGACATGTACATCATTTTAGTACATAATGTTAGATACTAAATTATCTCATTTCTATGCCAGAATAGTTTATCGGAACCTGCTCTGGGATTTAACTGTGTCGGTGGTAATTCTGCTTCTTTGGTTCTCAAATTTCTGAGGTAAAACTTTTGAGTCCAATAGAACACATTCTATCAAGGTTTATATAATACGTGTTGATCTGATAATGTCTTGCACTATTCAGGCTGGGAGGAACGATGGTAACATATGGGGGCATGTCAAAAAAGCCTGTCACAGTATCAACATCAGCCTTCATTTTCAAAGCAAGTCATATCTCTATGCTGTGTTTTCTGTTTTGCATACTCTTGAATGGCATCAACACTAAATATGTGGTGAATAGGTTAATCTCTCAATAAGGGTGTTTGTCCGATGACTGCACGCAATACTACAACATATAATACTAGCTGCCCAATATGGTTGCAGGAACTCTCCTTGAGAGGATTCTGGTTGCAGAAGTGGTTGGGCAGTGATAAGGCAACTGAACGTGGGAGACGGATCGATTATCTTCTCTCGTTAGCGAAGGAAGGGAAGCTGAGATACGAGTAAGCCTACCATCACATCGCTTCCCCAGTTTTGGCCACTTTCTTGGGTTTTTCTCTCCTAATGATGATTCGATTCTGGGGGTGTGGATCACTCACTCTGCAGGATGGAGCTGGTTCCTTTTGACAATTTCAATGTAGCATTGGATAGAGCACTTGGAAAGCTTGGGAGCCAACCGAAACAAGTCATTACTTTCTGAACCTGCCGTTCATAAGGGAACCCTGGGATTTGCTTGTTGAAAGAGATAGTGGTGCACTGGTGATTAGGTTTTGCAAGCTGATGTCGTCACTGATCCTCTTGGCCCAAGGCTAATGTTTGCAAGAAACATCGATCTAGGATTATGTTTTGCAGAAGCGAAGGAATGTGAAAGTAGAGTGAGTGTAACAAATTGTGTCTAATGGAATCCAGGAAGAAGAAGAAGATGCATTGTCCTAATGTAATGAATAAAGAGATCAGCTTGTATTTAGGGCTGCAAAAGAGTCGAGCTGCTCACGAGCTTATGAGCGTGTTGATGAGCCTCGAGCTCGAGTAAAGCTTATGAGCTTATTAACGAGTTGAGTTCAAATCAAACATGAGCTGATGTTTCGGTAAATGAAACAAGATTGAGCCCTGCATATTTATTTACAAGTTGATTCCAAGCTATGTCAAAACTTGACTCGAACCGACTCATTCGTTGCTCGTCCTACTTGTGTTGTATTTCGACAAACCAATAATTGTAGGTGAGCTTAAAATAGCTAATGCGCGTGGATGATAATTGCACTTGAACGCATTGGGTCGGCCCGTTGAAGTTAGTTTGCAAATAAATTAAAAAATGGCATGATTTTATAGCGTCTTGACCCTCTCGGTTTTCAATTCGAGCCACTATCTCTTGGGTGGTTTGATTGTGACACTAGTCCTTTTTTTCGAGCTCACGGTTCGGTCCAATCTGTAGACGTGGCATTATCACCCTCATTTCATCCTAGAGTCCTCAATCCATAGCTGGGTAGGGAGAGATTGGAAAGTTCAGATTACAAATGTTTTTCGAGAGAGCTACTTTATAACGGATTACCTAACGTCGGTTGGTCATTCTTTGTTTTATGTGTTATCGATTTTGATAATCCTAATCTGTCTATACTCCTCGCTTGAATAATACTTAAGGGTTAAAGCGCCCCTGTGCTTTGATTATTATATATAAAAAAAAACAGACAGATTAGGATCAATCAATCAACCCGATTACTATTTCCAATATGATAGCCACCATTCCTAAGGGTCTCAATCCGGGCCAACATATGTGTAGGAAAATCTGCAACAAAACCAAAGCTGATGAGTGACAAAAATTTCGTTTGATATTTCTAAAACATAGTACAACATATTAAGACTACAATATAAGATAAAATTAAAATAATAACATTACTACCTGCAGAATCATAAGCTGCCAGGACTTGGTCTGCTGGAGCTTCACGAAGTATCAAACACCTGTTTCTAATTTCATGGACGTTCTCTTGTAGCCCTACATTGCGAAAATCATTTACTATCTGTTCTGGATTCACACACCCATCTCTCTCGATTCCAGCAAATAAAGTTTCAAAATGAATATCAGTCCACCTATGACCAAAAACATGTCCATGGATGGCAATGAGTCGGGTTCGGTCGGGTTTTGCCAAACCCATGGGTTTATCCGTGAAAAAAACCTGGGGTAAAACCCATTGGGTTTGAAAAACTCAAACCCAACCCAACCCGGTTGGTATCCGCGGGTTCATGGGTACCCATGAGTTTTTTGTCGTAAAAAATTTACAATAACAAGTTCCTATCAAAATTAAAGTCAAATATCAATCTCTCAATACAAATTATCCATATATAAAACACAATTCTAGAAAATTCAAGCAAATCACAAATTAACTATACAAATTGTTCAACATCAATCTAGAAAACTCAAGAAAATGAAGTAAATCACAAATTATCCATAAATAACATGATTAATTGAAAGTTTCTTCCTTTCAATTAAGTTTCTTCACTCTCCACTCGATAGCATCAACTTCATTCCACACAATTAGAAAGAAAAATTAGACATGTCTCCACAAACATAAATAAGATTAGTTGTTTAGAATATTAAATATACCGAGAAAATTAATTATATGAGTGTGGGCGGGTACCCATGGGCCGGGTTTACCTAAACCCAAATCCAACCCGGTGAATAGTGAACGGGTTAAAACCCAAACCCGGTCCAAAACCCGTCAACATGAATTTTACCCGCGTTGATCGGGTTGGGTCGGATGGGTACCCGTGGGTTCGTGTTTTGTTGCCATCCCGACCTCAATGCAACTCATTGGATAGTAAAATCATATCTGCAAACTAAGTGCTGGTATATGGATAAGGGATTGAGTTCAATTCTTCGATAAGAACATCAACAGATATTGGATGGATCTTCGACCCATGTTCCCCAGTCCATGCACGAGTCACGTACAGCCCACCAAGCCCATGCTGTCATTGGAATGTCTGTCGAGTCTAGCAAGGGTGAAACCCTAGTTACTTATTGTAGAAAGGGATATATATGTACGTGTACTCATTGGCTTCGGCCAAGTTAATTGATCATCAATAATAGTTGCAGCTGGAGAGCTTTCCGCTCTCCCGTGGATTAGTCTCGGTCATCACTTGATCGAGGATACCACGTTAAACCCGTTTGTTCTTTCGATTCGTTGCAAATCTTACAACAGAGAAACGGGTTTTTTTTCGAAAACTGATACTTTAAAAACTATTTTCCTCGAAAAATGTTTTCAAGTCTAAAGAATATATTAAAGATTTTTCTCATTTTAAGTTTCAGGGATTCAAATTTCCCTTCTCTTTACATTTCCACATCAACATACACTATTAGTCAATCATATCTTCTCTAGGAAGGGGGGGGGGGGGGGGGGGGGAATCCTGCAGTAACTGCCCCCTCAATTTCCTTTTTTAGTTTTCCATTCTTGCAATTTAATCTCCATCAAATTCTTTTTTCTATGTTTTCCGTTTACATGCTTTTTTCTTTCTTTATACATAGTTTTTTTTCCTTTAGATATCAATTTTGTTTGTTACCTTCTAAGAAACTTTGTTTAGTATATTATAAGATTAAAAGTGTATATAAATTGTCTCAGAAAGAGTTACTTTCATATGTATTTGGAATATTATTTTATATATGACATAATATAAATGTGCCTTTCTATAGCAGTGTATGCTCTTGCATTAAGCAGATGTAATCTAACAGAATTTACTCTGCGAAAATATGCAGATCGTTTGAATATCAATAAATGTGACAAATCTGCAAAACGCACAAAAGTTGGATCAACAAGCTGCACTAATGGAAATAATAAATGACAAAGAACTAGCATAACTAATACATGTCCAATGTAATGATCCACATAGCTTAACGCAAAGCTCAGATTCTTCAAGTTCGCCAAACTCTGGTTCGAGTTGGTGTGAACCATGACAACCAAAATAGGGGTAAGGCAACCTTTGAAAGCCAGATTCCAACAAATCAAATGCCAAGGACATTTGACCATATGAAATTCGAAAAAATTGTAGATTTTGCCCTTCCACAGTTCCAACAGACCTAAATACGAAAAACCATGAAATTGGCAAATCAGTGAAAAAAGAGTAATTGATTCAGATTCCTAAAGAATTTACCGAATGAAGAAATAGAACCAAAGAAAACTTATCCACAAGCTCTATCATCTAAGAAACCCTAAAATCAAGAGTACAGTATGTTACTGATTCACAGATTTACATACAACATCAAACAGATCCGACATTCTTCAATTAATCCAGACACCATCAAACGAAAATTGATTACCAAAACCCTAATGTATCACTTGCAGAAACCCTGATAACCAGTAAGAGACGAATACCAAAACAAGGCATGCAAAAGTTACTGAATCACAAATTGACATATATAATATCATACAGATTTTCCATTCTCGAATGAATTCCAAGAACAAGAGAGAAAAAGGCGAAGGGATGCTACCTCTCCCCTTGACCATCTTTGCTTCCAGATTCTTGAACAGAACTTGTACTGGAGAGGTTGCGTTCATCTTCTCCACTGCTTCTGCGCGGTGTCCTTGCAAAGTCCGACGGTGAGTGATATACGCAAAATCAAATAGATTGTCAATTCGAGAATAGATTCTGAAAACGAAGGGAGAAAAACGAGAAAGAAAACTACCTGCAGTAACTGCCCCCTCAATTTCCTTTTTTAGTTTTCCATTCTTGCAATTTAATCTCCATCAAATTCTTTTTTCTATGTTTTCCGTTTACATGCTTTTTTCTTTCTTTATACATAGTTTTTTTTCCTTTAGATATCAATTTTGTTTGTTACCTTCTAAGAAACTTTGTTTAGTATATTATAAGATTAAAAGTGTATATAAATTGTCTCAGAAAGAGTTACTTTCATATGTATTTGGAATATTATTTTATATATGACATAATATAAATGTGCCTTTCTATAGCAGTGTATGCTCTTGCATTAAGCAGATGTAATCTAACAGAATTTACTCTGCGAAAATATGCAGATCGTTTGAATATCAATAAATGTGACAAATCTGCAAAACGCACAAAAGTTGGATCAACAAGCTGCACTAATGGAAATAATAAATGACAAAGAACTAGCATAACTAATACATGTCCAATGTAATGATCCACATAGCTTAACGCAAAGCTCAGATTCTTCAAGTTCGCCAAACTCTGGTTCGAGTTGGTGTGAACCATGACAACCAAAATAGGGGTAAGGCAACCTTTGAAAGCCAGATTCCAACAAATCAAATGCCAAGGACATTTGACCATATGAAATTCGAAAAAATTGTAGATTTTGCCCTTCCACAGTTCCAACAGACCTAAATACGAAAAACCATGAAATTGGCAAATCAGTGAAAAAAGAGTAATTGATTCAGATTCCTAAAGAATTTACCGAATGAAGAAATAGAACCAAAGAAAACTTATCCACAAGCTCTATCATCTAAGAAACCCTAAAATCAAGAGTACAGTATGTTACTGATTCACAGATTTACATACAACATCAAACAGATCCGACATTCTTCAATTAATCCAGACACCATCAAACGAAAATTGATTACCAAAACCCTAATGTATCACTTGCAGAAACCCTGATAACCAGTAAGAGACGAATACCAAAACAAGGCATGCAAAAGTTACTGAATCACAAATTGACATATATAATATCATACAGATTTTCCATTCTCGAATGAATTCCAAGAACAAGAGAGAAAAAGGCGAAGGGATGCTACCTCTCCCCTTGACCATCTTTGCTTCCAGATTCTTGAACAGAACTTGTACTGGAGAGGTTGCGTTCATCTTCTCCACTGCTTCTGCGCGGTGTCCTTGCAAAGTCCGACGGTGAGTGATATACGCAAAATCAAATAGATTGTCAATTCGAGAATAGATTCTGAAAACGAAGGGAGAAAAACGAGAAAGAAAACTACCTCTGTCCTTCCCCTCCATTGTTTCCAGGTTCTTGATCAGAACTCGTACCGGAGAGGTTGCGTTCGTCTTCTCCATTGCTTCTGCGCGGTGTCCTTGCAACGTCCGACGGTGATTGATATACGCAAAATCACATAGATTGTCAATTCTCGAATAGATTCAAAAAACGAAGTGAGAAAACCGAGAAAGAAAACTACCTATGTCCGTCCCCTCCATTGTTTCCAGGTTCTTGATTAGAACTCATACTGCAAAGATTGCGTTCGTCCACTCCACTTCCTCTACTCGGCGTCCTTGCCACGTCCGCCGGTGATTGGGACAAGATGAACAGCGAGACTGGTTGTTTGGTAGTTGAGAAAGTGAAGTAAACAAGTCTGGAAATTTCTCACCAATCGTACGTACCATAGAGGTGACTAAAAGCTCCAGCTCCGTTAAAACTGGTGCAAAATAACAAACAACTAGTGGCATGCATATCAAATTTTTCCTGCTCAACTCCAACATAGCGGTAGACCATATCTTCACCATGGGGGGATCAACTATACGAGACCTATAAAACTGTTCCAGTGAATCTGACATAGGTCAGATACAATCTTCTTATCTTCAATTAGAGCAAAGAGCTCATTCTCCTAAGTAGGAGGATGATTTAACGTGCCAGATTCACTATTAATCCAAGTAATTCGGCTTGTCATAGCTTTCAGCGGTGATTCAGAGCTTCATATGCGGTCCAGGCATTGTAAGAACTAATTACTTGAGGAATGAATCTAAAATGTATGCAGCTTCTAATCAAAGAATTTATCAGCTCAAAAGGTTATACTCTCTGCCTCTTATTTCCGGAATACTCAGAATCATCATCAGGATAGCCTTCGTCATCAAAAGACAAAGGACGAGGTACATACCCAGATCTGCAGATTTGTAGCTAGTTATATTTAGGGTTTGCAAAACAAAGAAACGAAGGAAGGAAAAATCGTGGTAAAAAAGGGGAAAGAAAAATCTTACACTTCATACTCTTGTTTTGGGAAGCGCTCGTCGGGATCAGAACTGCGAGCCAAAAGAATGGATGAAAATAATAAAAATCAAACAAAGAAACCTTAATTCTCGATAAAAGGGATGGAAATAAAAATTGAATTTATCTAGAGGGTTCATCATCACAAGAACCATAGCTTAAACAGAGTAAAGTAAGGTATGATAAACAGGAAGATTGAAATACAAATATCGAAAACGAAATACCATGGTGTTGAATCGCCATTGTTCACCATTGATTTGGTGTTCTCAAGTCTGGACAAGAAGACGGAGAACCGGAAAACAAAGTAAGGATAATAACAGAGAGAAGAGAGGGAAAAGATCAACCGAATGAAACAGAGAATACAAAGACAAAAGAGAGAATTGTAAAGGACACCTTAAAGATCTTCTCCTCGACTGCATCTTATTCTCAAGGCGGCTATTGATCTGATACGAACAAAGAAAACCTAGAGAGATGGAGGGAAGAACAAAGGCGGAGGTCTCTGGGGGTTTAGGGTTTGGGAGATGAGACTAATTGGGTCGATCCCGGTATTAGGGAAGAGAGAGAGTGAAAGAGAGAAACTAGCAGGGGAATCCGTTACTCCTCAATTAATGGCCCTTACCGGAATCAACGGTTGGCCAGAATAGAATACGTTTTCTACACATAACGTATTAATTATTAATAAATTTTATTATTATTATTATTAGTACTATTATTATTCTTTTATTATCAAACGAACGTAACCTTTTGATTTCCTGCCATTTATTGGTTGGCTGTCAAATCGTCTTTTACTTTCCCTGTCTTCAAATGGACTTTTTAAATCATTTTTACGGGCTTTTTTCGAAAACTAATACTTTAAAAACTATTTTCCTCGAAAAATGTTTTCAAGTCTAAAGACTATATTAAAGATTTTCTCATTTTAAGTTTTTGGGATTCAAATTTCCCTTCTCTTTACATTTCCACATCAACATACACTATTAGCCAATCATATCTTCTCTAGGAAAAGAGGGGGGAGGGGGGGGGGGGGGGATCCTGCGGTAACTGCCCCCCTCAATTTCCGTTTTTTAGTATTCCATTCTTCCAATTTAATCTCCATCAAATTCTTTTTTCTATGTTTTCCCTTTGCATGCTTTTTTTTTTCTTTATGCATAGTTTTTTGTCCTTTAGATATCAATTCTGTTTGTTACCATCTAAGAAAATTTGTTCAGTATATTATAAGATTAAAAGTGTATATAAATTTTCTCAGAAAGAGTTACTTTCATGTGTATTTTGAATATTATTTTATATATGACATAATATAAATAATTTGAGTATGCTTGGTGGGGGTGAGTTCAAATATAGCAAGCATTAGTTGCAAGTTAGTCTAAATATATAAAATTATGGAATTAAATATATTGTTCATATTTCTTTTTATTGTTTTGGTTAACGAATCTTCATGTAAAGACCGTTCATAATCCACCATTTGAAAATTGTTTTTCTTAAAAACATTTATCCTCGCATAATTGAAGACTCACATGATTGAAAACTAGATAAATGAACTATTATGACTTTATAAGTATGATGACAAACACTAAAAAATTATGCTTATATATTTATCCAAGAGTTAATGTCTTTCGATTAAGAATTGAATTCGAAATAATGTAATACATCGTTTCAATTTATGCTTATATATTTATCCAAAGATCAACATAAGATAAAGGTCGTTTCATTCTTTTGACTAACGGCCAAACAAAAATAATATTTGTTAGTTTACTATTGACCACGAGCCAATTAAAATGTCCAGTCACTTCATTTTTTTTACCTTCATCTCATATGTCCAACCCGACCAACCTCAATTGTATTTATCACTAAGATGTAGGTTTAATGTTGGATGAATATTGTCCTTTATACAATCCGTCTCTTTTGTGTGAGTATGTATTTATACATATCCGACGCAACCCGTATTTCAACTATTATCCTCAAATGTCCGCATTCAAATAAAGCCCGATTTCAGATTAATATTAGTCACAAGTGCAGATTAATGTTGATTACTAATTAAGAAGGGGAGGGTGAACCTTGATTGAATGGATAGTAGATCAATTTGAGGAGTAAGTCCCGATGAAGAAGACGAACAAATAATTTTATTTTCTTTCATTAATTTATTAATAGAGGTGTTCTCTTGTATTAATTTATTTTCAAATCAACGTTATTTTCTTTTTCCTTTAATGTATTCATGTTATGTCTCTAAATTCTAACTACTTTTTTACTTGTAAGCTGCGAACACCTATGAGGGTGGTTCTTTGTATGTTGTGTCCGTTCTTTCTTTTACTGTCAATTCGAATTGAAAGAAGTGCGTTGTTAAAGTTAACCGTGACAATAAAGTTGGGTTGGTGCAGTTAAAGTTTATCACTAATTATATATTCGAGATTGACAATAAAGAAGAAAGGAGTAAATCAGAAAAAAGATATAACCAAATCCATCTGTCCAACCGAACCAAGCCCCATTTGTATTTATAGTGGGTTGAGAATATTAGTGTGTGAGAATTAATTAATTAATTAATTGAATCACCAACCATTTCCCACATATATTTACCACCGCACTTTATCAAACCCGGTTTCAAATTAGTACTAGTCACAACTCACAAGTGTAGATTAATGTTGATTACTAACTAAGAAGGGGAGGATGAACCTCGATGGAATGGAGAGTAGATAAATTTTGGCATGAGGAGTATGTAAGTCCTGATGAAGAAGACAAACAAAGGACTTTGTTTTATTTCACCAATTCATTAGCATTTATTAAAGGAGATGTTCTCTTGCATTTTAACATATAATTTATCAAATCCAACGGTCTTTTCTTTTTCCTTTAATTTATTACCGTCATATCAATTTTTTACTTTCATGTCTTGTGAGTTGTGAATACTTATCATGCTCCGCTTGTAACTAGTAAGCTGTGTCTGTCATAGCTGGCAACAAAGAGAGGGGGGAAAAGGTGATTGATGGTGATTGGTGAATGAATAAGACGATTGAGCAAAAAGAAAAAAAATGAATAAGACAAAACCCAACTGAACAACCATAACAACAATTGTTAAGCAAGTTGGAGTGGATTTAAATTATTCAATTACGGAAACGGGTTTTAGTGGATCGACTTCGAACCTATCTTATATAATAACTATAAAACGGAAAAACAAAACAACCTCCCAATAAAAACACAACATGTCATCAATTCCACCAGTAACATCACATTTAACTCTTCAAGTGACAGGTGTATAGATTCTCTATTATCAAATTTCTCTTGTTTTATTACATTTCGATAGTCTCTTCCCATATATTTCATTGAACACAAAAAACGCTACATATGAAGAATTTGTATTCTATCATGAGCGATTAATACATTGAAGTAACGAATTGATGTCATTTACAATTGTACGCATGTTGGTGGGAAATAAACGAAAGTAATCCAACTACAAATATGTTCCTAACTGAAACATGACTCAGCTAAATAAATGAAGATGTAGAAAGAGCATAACCTCAGATCTTGTAAGCATGTTATAAAAATTGATAGCTTTAACAATCTCCTACTTACAAACTTTTGATAATATATAAGTAGATGATGTGGGACCTTGACATGCTTTGGCAACTTAATTTTAACTAATCAAAGGTTGTGTGCTCCAAAAATGTTAGATAACTCTATAAAATATATATTAATTCAATTCAACCTGCTGTTTTTCCTTCCTTAAACATGTAACTCAAATTTGATCAATCCATCCAGTCAAAAGAAGAGGAAAAAAAAAGTTCATCAATTTGAATCTATAAGGAGGTTCTCTCGCTTCCTACTGAATCATTTTCATGTTTTACCAATTATTAACAAACGATCTATTGTTTCGTTGATAATATGAGTGTGAGAGAATTAAACAACCAACTATGTGTCACATATATTCATCACCGCACTATATATCAACCCATGTTTATATTAATAATGGTTGCAATTTTAATAGTTTGTTCTGTTGTTATATTTGATGGCATTGTACAATTCGCACATAAGAACTCATTTGTGTCTTTGAGTTTTTGTGAACATGTTCCACATCCGGCATAACACTCATTTGTAACTTTGACAACCTTACATTTGATGGAATAAGCATCATATTATATAAAGTGTTAGCATTTGATAATGAATTATTTGATTTAAATTGGTAATCGCCTCTTCTCCATCGTCAATTTTCGTTCACAAATTTCATGCAATGTTATGGTTGTGATTAATTCTCGGGTTGTGACTTTGGTTCTCGCCTGAGAAGGTAGTTCCAGTGGCGGAGCCAGAAAATTAGCCAAGGGGGTGCCTTTTCCGTATCATAAAAAATGAACTATGTAATAAAAAAGTCAACTAAACGTAATAAGAAGTCAATAACGTAGTGCCCAAATTTCCTATAATTACAAAATAGTTTGATGTACGCGACTTACAACGAGCTGCGATGAGATTTCATGTTTTGAAAGCATTCAATAACACATTATTTGTTCGAACTATATAGCAAATATTATTTAATATATGTTATAAATGTGTCGTTCAACCACTTATTGTTTATTCGGCATCGAAGATCATTTTTTATATATTTCATGGATGAAAATGATCCTCCTCACTTGCTTGAAGAATGAGTGTATTTCATGGATGAAAACGATCCCTCCTAACTTGCTTGAAGAATGAGTGTCAAGTGTGACGCCATAACCCAAAAAGAATACAACTTCAGAGTTTAGACGGTTGGAATGAGAGCAAGGGGTAAACAAAGGTGGGTTCAGTTTCTTTATGTGATATAAGAGGATGGATGAATAGAAATCTTAGCTTGCTGACTTCCCTCTTATAACAAATTCGATGGGTGGCTGGTTTTTATCTCTGAAGGTTATATAGCAGGGAGCAATTGGATTGACAGGGTGGCAGGGGTGGTGGAGGGCATTCGATTCAATACAAATAAGGGGTTGATTACTTTCTGTAGTTTCAATGAATAAAGTGGCAACCTAGGGATAGAAACTCCCTATACCCGTTAATTTTTTTCTCCAGCCTAAGGGGGGTGCTTGCACCCCCCTCCTCTGTGAATAGCTCCTCCACTGGGTAGTTCATATATGATATAATCCTAGATTGGCCCTTAAACACGAATCAATTGCTTGCCAAAGGATCCATCAATGTTTGATTGAAAAAATGGAAGAATTTGGTTAAGTGTTTGGGTTGTTTCGTGGTGCTTACTTTACATGTTCATATCTTACATTATGATTGATTGGAAATGCAAGCGGAAGGGTGGAGATTGAAGAACAAGTGTTTATGTACAAGTCTGGATGGTTATTTTCACAATTCCAAGTCTCTAAGTACATGGACGAGGATCATCAAGTAGCCAGGGTGAAACTGGGAAATTGGCTGGTTTTGGCCAAGTCTGGAAGCAGTTCAAGAGACCATCTTTGGGAGCTTATTCAATACAGATGGAGCATCGTCGAGGGAAGAGGTGAGTTGGAACTTGTACTACGAGGATAGGAGAACTGACTGCTCTAAAACACAACACCTAACAAAGGCCAAGTGTAACCAATGGAAGGGACTGCAGTATAGTGGCTCAAGTGATAAATATCGAATCCACGGGTCTCTAGAGTTACTATTACTCAACTTCAGTTTATTATTTAGCAAACCAGATTAAGATGAAAGAACTAAAACTACTCTAGCAAACTACAGTTAAAGTTAATCTAATTACAGGTTGGGAACTCACTTAGGTATGATTCCCCCTAGCCACTAGCCAGATTAATGATTGATGATCTCTAACCTGTTTCACTTTCATTCACAATGCGGAGAATCCTTGACTAGACCTTGAGTCTCGACTAAAGGAACAAGGCCCTCTTGAGTCAATTGCCTAGAGGGACGTATCCTTCTCTAGAACAACTGATCAAGGCGTTCTGAACTAGACTCCCTCTATCGAAAGAGGTTCTCAATCGATACAAAGCAGTGAATCAACCCTCGACTAAAGCAATCGATCCACTACTATCAATCTATGGTGCTCTATTGACCTAATCAGGTATTCCCTCTCATAGAATCAAAGCAGAATCAATAATCTCGACTAAAGCAGAATTGAATCATGAAAACATGCATAGATTGAATATGAACTCAAGATTAACCAGTCAGAGTACTCATACAATCATCCAATCAAACAAACATAGCTAGGGTTCCTCAAAACCTAAGTGAAGGGAAGTTACTCCATAGAGAAGAGAGAGACTGCAGTAAGAATCTTCAGATGATCAGTCTTCAAGTCCGGGCTTGTTCCTCGAGCTTCCAAGGCGAAGAAATCCTCCTTCTCTACTCCAAGAATGCCCTCAAATCGCCCTCTCTCTCTAGGGTTCGTCCCTTGGGTGTTTGGGATCCAAAACCCAGCTCCCTCTTCTTTGGTTCGGAATTTGGCTTAAAACCAGGAAATCCCGACTCGCACGGCCAGGGTGCATGGCCGTGCACATCACCATTCTGGCCGTGCACCTCAAAACGCGGCGTATCAATTAGTTGAACCTCAGCCAACTCGCACGGCCAGAATTGTATGTTGCACGGCCGTGCGGATTTCACTTGTGCCCGTGCGTGCCCACGCACAATCCCGCACGGCCAAACTGGTCACTTGCACGGCCGTGCGTGGCCACGCTGGTCTGCCCGTGCAGCTTGCTCAGCCTCTGTTTAATGCTTCGTTTCTCCCTCGTCCGGACTCCGAATCAATCGCCGTTTGATCCCAGACGCTCGTAGTCTCGTCCTCTTTCGTTTCATAACAAGCTTGCATGATTCTTTGTTCATAAAGTGAGGTAGAAATCCATTCTTCTTCAGGTCATGCCCGAGTTTCTTCTCTCGAATCGTCAATTGATCTCTGATTGACTTGAAACTTGCGCCTATGCTTCACTTTATGTGCTAGGACCTGAAATGGGACAGAGGAACACAACCTAGCATAAAATAGGCCAAAGACGCAATAATTCAAGCTCAAACAATCAAGAAACAAAGGGGAAAACATGTGCAAATACCGAGTCATCAAATCCCCCCACACTTAACTGTTTGCTTGTCCCCAAGCAAACCTAACTCAAACCAATGCAACTCTCCAGACCTCTATAGCAACAAACAACCCAGATCGTAGGTAGAGGACTTCCTAGATCATTTAGCAGCTTACGAGGTCAACCGACGCACAAGTCATCTCATAACTTCTTCGGCGAGTCGGCATCATGGCAAATAGTGAACAGAGGACAAATGAATTGTGGATGAGGAGATTCTCAAAAACAACAGATCATGGACTCACATTTTTCAAGGTGCTCTATTTTCTGCTTCTTGAAGATGGTTGAGACCCCTTTTTTTTTGTTTTGCTTGTTTTCTGATATTTTTCTTTTCTTTTCTTTTTCAAGGGTCCCAACCTGCTCTTACCGGCCATGCCAGGAGCGGATGTCTCGAGCCTCGTGCGGGGGAAAGACATGTAAGGGGGCTGGAGGTAGTAGGTGGAAATTGGGAACGAATTCCCGTCTCCCCTTACACACTTTCGCCCTATTCGCACGGGAGACGTTTATTTTGAAGCACATTTTCGAGCACCTGTTACTTTCAAAACATGATACAAGAGTCCATGACAGGTAGAGAATCCACAACACCACACAATTCAAGGGTCCTAAGATCACTAATTCACTCAATCAACCAACTTTATATGAAGAAGAAATGAGACTTCTTAAATGCATCAACATCCTCCATAGTGCTACACTACCTCCCTAGGTTGCATATTACTGTAAAGACTGTCAATTCAAAGCATACTGAGCAGGCAATTGCATGGAACACGTACTTGGAGCCCTCAAATTTAAAAATTTGGACAGTGGACTAGGCTCCAAGCACACAAACAGCCAAACATTCACCCGCATACATAATCGAACACCCCCCCACACTTAAGCACGACATTGTCCTCAATGGAGGAAAGATAAGGAGGGTTGAACGAAGTTACCAGATCAAGGGTGAATGATGATGTACGGGTCAGGCAGTGCAGTCCAGGAAGAGAGAGTAATCAGAACACAAACACCACACAAAATCTCACAAAGGTTGAGTTATTGACTCTAAAATCAAATAACAAAACTGACTCAACCGAGGAGAAATAGAGAAAGAAATGCAAACCGACTGGTTGGGTTGCCTCCCAACAAGCGCTTCTTTCACGTCGTGAGCCGGACGATGGCTCCTAAGTTTCGGTCCATGCTAGAACCTCCTTGAAGTTGAGGTTCTCGTCGATGAGGTGGAGTCTCAAGTCACGAGCATGTGGTGTGGCAGGTGAGGAAGGCTCATGTACTTGATGCAGATGAAGTCTCCACCCTCGAGACCTCTTCTTCTCTTCTCTCGTCTCATTGCCCCAAACCAGATAAGAAAGCATCGATTGGCCACCATCGCGTCCACCAAGAGGGACCGATGTCGAGGTGGCCTTGGTCTGGCAAAGAGACACTGCAAATGGGTCCTTGCTAAGCAGTTCCTCGAAGTTTGGTGGAGATATCACATGTAACTCATGGCCGGTGCAAGCCTCTTCCACCTCAACTTCGTCCTCAGCCTGGACGCCAATTGCTTCTTCAACCTCCCTTCCTTCTTCATGTGGTATCACCCCTGGGAAATGATCAAGAACTCCTCCAGCTTCACTTTCGTCATCCTCCACAACTTCTTTCTGCACCCTTTCTTGCTCTTCTTCTTCTAGCACGGATTGGAGAGCAAGTTGCCAAGCAATTTCTTTCATGAGATCTTCTTGCATCTCCTCACTCATGCCCGCCTCTTCAAAGCTCAGTTTGGGGTGTGGGAAGGTGTGGTCGGCTACGACATGACAGGCCTGATCATGATCATCACGGGAGCTCTCCGTGACAACTTCAGTGTGTTCCACAATGCCCTTGTAGCCTTCTTCTTCCTCCTCCTCTTCTTGTATGGTAGCAGAAGGGTGATCTGGAGCAGGTTGCGCCCAAGATCGCTCAAGATCATCGACGCTCTTCTTAAGGCTCAGGAGGATCTCATCTGTTTCACGATAGGCCTGGACACACTGATCCATCCTGGAGCATGTTCTCTCACAGTCTCGAGCATACTGCTCCATGAGTAACTCCAGCGCCGATGGCCCTTCTGGTTGTGGGAGAAATTCTTCTTGATAATGAGGTTGTTCTTGATATGCCCAGGGGTCCGGTTGTTCTCCGTAGTAAGGGGGTTGGTACTGGAACCCGAATCCATAGTCTTCTCTGCCTTGATTGCTCCAGGGAGTCTCGGGGTAATACCACCCAGATGGCGGTGGATACCCCCAATGATTGAAGAAGCCATTAGGATCCATGATTCAGATATGCACCAACAAAAACAAAAACACCCAAGTGAAAAGCAAGGGTGGGAAAGAAAAGAAAAGAAAAACGCTAAAGTAACAAACTTCTGCCTTTCCTAATACTCTAGAAAGTCCCCGGCAACGGCGCCAAAAACTTGACTGCTCTAAAACACAACACCTAACAAAGGCCAAGTGTAACCAATGGAAGGGACTGCAGTATAGTGGCTCAAGTGATAAATATCGAATCCACGGGTCTCTAGAGTTACTATTACTCAACTTCAGTTTATTATTTAGCAAACCAGATTAAGATGAAAGAACTAAAACTACTCTAGCAAACTACAGTTAAAGTTAATCTAATTACAGGTTGGGAACTCACTTAGGTATGATTCCCCCTAGCCACTAGCCAGATTAATGATTGATGATCTCTAACCTGTTTCACTTTCATTCACAATGCGGAGAATCCTTGACTAGACCTTGAGTCTCGACTAAAGGAACAAGGCCCTCTTGAGTCAATTGCCTAGAGGGACGTATCCTTCTCTAGAACAACTGATCAAGGCGTTCTGAACTAGACTCCCTCTATCGAAAGAGGTTCTCAATCGATACAAAGCAGTGAATCAACCCTCGACTAAAGCAATCGATCCACTACTATCAATCTATGGTGCTCTATTGACCTAATCAGGTATTCCCTCTCATAGAATCAAAGCAGAATCAATAATCTCGACTAAAGCAGAATTGAATCATGAAAACATGCATAGATTGAATATGAACTCAAGATTAACCAGTCAGAGTACTCATACAATCATCCAATCAAACAAACATAGCTAGGGTTCCTCAAAACCTAAGTGAAGGGAAGTTACTCCATAGAGAAGAGAGAGACTGCAGTAAGAATCTTCAGATGATCAGTCTTCAAGTCCGGGCTTGTTCCTCGAGCTTCCAAGGCGAAGAAATCCTCCTTCTCTACTCCAAGAATGCCCTCAAATCGCCCTCTCTCTCTAGGGTTCGTCCCTTGGGTGTTTGGGATCCAAAACCCAGCTCCCTCTTCTTTGGTTCGGAATTTGGCTTAAAACCAGGAAATCCCGACTCGCACGGCCAGGGTGCACGGCCGTGCACATCACCATTCTGGCCGTGCACCTCAAAACGCGGCGTATCAATTAGTTGAACCTCAGCCAACTCGCACGGCCAGAATTGTATGTTGCACGGCCGTGCGGATTTCACTTGTGCCCGTGCGTGCCCACGCACAATCCCGCACGGCCAAACTGGTCACTTGCACGGCCGTGCGTGGCCACGCTGGTCTGCCCGTGCAGCTTGCTCAGCCTCTGTTTAATGCTTCGTTTCTCCCTCGTCCGGACTCCGAATCAATCGCCGTTTGATCCCAGACGCTCGTAGTCTCGTCCTCTTTCGTTTCATAACAAGCTTGCATGATTCTTTGTCCATAAAGTGAGGTAGAAATCCATTCTTCTTCAGGTCATGCCCGAGTTTCTTCTCTCGAATCGTCAATTGATCTCTGATTGACTTGAAACTTGCGCCTATGCTTCACTTTATGTGCTAGGACCTGAAATGGGACACAGGAACACAACCTAGCATAAAATAGGCCAAAGACGCAATAATTCAAGCTCAAACAATCAAGAAACAAAGGGGAAAACATGTGCATATACCGAGTCATCAAGAACAAACGACTTAAGCCGGTTTGGATCGACTTTCCCTGGAAGGCTACGATCGAGAGCTTCAAAGTGGCTCTGGATGCTGGAATGGTTGCTTGCGCAGGAAGGCAGCAACTTGGGTATGAAGTAATTGAGTTTTGTTTCCTTTTCAAGTTAGGATTCTGTTTCCTTGTTAAGCTAGAACTAGAACTCGTATTTCCTTGTTTGGTTAGAGTTATAATTAGGATAATTGTTGTCTATTTAAGGGCTTGAAAGCCTCGTGTACAAGCAGAGAAGATTGAATGAAAAGTTGTGACTTCGTCACCAAATTCTTGTGTGTTGGTTGAATTCCAGCAACAAGCTTGCTTCGTATCGATTGAAACCACATCAATCGTGGTCGAGCTTTACCTCAAACCAATCGAGCCTTCTTCCACGTGAAAGATTGCACATTTGTTCCATTTTCTTTTGTTTTAAGTTGATCAAATTCAAGTCCTTGTCGAGGGAGATTTGAGTTCCGCGCTTTGATCTCAAACAAGCACAAATGTGCTCATATTAATATCCGTCGCCATTTTTCATAAAATAATGAAAAGTAACCTATTTTTGTGTAACTTCATACTTATAAATATAATGCACAACAGAACACGTGGATTAAATTATCGTAAATTTCACCTTATCCCAAAGCTAATGACTTTTGAAATTCTTGAATTCTCCAGACACCAAGGTCGCTCTCTATGAGGAGAAGGTATTCTCACTGCAAAATTGACGGCCATTTAATTAACCGACATGATTTTATTTGTCAATTGGTAGATTGATAATAAAGCAACCAATATGTTTTATTACCATTGACCATTGTATTGAGTGACGAATATTGATGTAATGATCACAATGAGAGGTCGATCGCCTCCATTTGCAAGGATGACATCTAATTTAGTAATTATCATAACAAATTAAGTTACCTTCACAACCAAACCCATGCATCCAAGTTAGATATTAGCTTTTAAATTAAAGCTAAAGTAATGCATGTTATTTTAAGATGAAAGTTCACAAAATTAAATGCTCGGGAAGTTTGGTTGGAGCTTTTTCGAGTAAGTCTAGTAGATGCCAATAAACTCGAGTGTTGAATAAGCTAGACAACAACATTGATGGAATAAACACAAACAGAGAGTTCCCAACTGATTCCAACCCTAACCAGACTGATTTACAGATGCATTGGTAAGCATAGACAAGAAGACACTGTCCTATAGGCTACACCCATATGAGGACTAACATACACAAGTAAGTTCAACCAAAGGAAGCACCCCCAACATTTACGTCACGCAAATCTTCAAGATGATCGTCGATAGTAATACCTGCAGAACGATAAACCCAGAAATAAGAGATCTAGCATGGTTTGATACATCCAACATGGAAGCCGCGGCGAGAGAAGGACGTACACGTATACGTTTACACCGTAAGCGGAAGCATATTTGCGTAGCAGACGCTCCACGGTGTACCATTGCGAGCGATCTGATCCATCCTGATACCCTATTCGAGGCATGTGGACTGATGCTGCGCTCCCCCCATGTTGAGAATACAGGGTAACCAAAAAATGAGATCAGCTGTTGTATTATTATCCAGACATTCATTAGTGTTAGGTGCATAGGTGTGAGAGAAACGTACCAGAATGTTGTGCTGCTGCAAACAATACCTTGGATAAGCAGCTTTCCAAGTCGGGAATGGAGATGTCACTACGAGGAACTTTGCGTCTGGGATTATATGACTGTACAACACCTAATGCCACCCACTGCAGCTCATTGCCCTCTCCACTGCCACTATCTCCATCTGGAGAAGTATTTTCAGTCATGGACAAAGATGTATCGGGTGTTAGAGCTGGTTTCTGACATCGAGTATGGATAACTATAGTGAATAAAGCTCTGGAAAGAGACAGAAGAGGGAAAACTTGACCATTTATTTTTATGAAATGCAGATCCCCAAGATGCAAGTCACCGAATTCTGAAGCCCGTTGATAAGCCTCCGGGATAGCAGGAGAAATTCTAGTCAGGGCATCAAACAAACCTCCATGTCCCCAGTTTCCAGAATCATCCACACAACTGCATATGTTTTTGAGTGAATAAACAGACGTTAAGAATTGAAAAAAGAAAAAAGATACTCTTCGCGAACTCCTATAGGTAAATCAGATTAACAATTGCTATAGTTTGAGAGAACAAAATGAAGGATAATGTAAGGTTCGACAACCTGAATATGATAGTGGGTTCGGACTGGCAAACTTGCGTTGGATGCGTACAATCTCCAGAAACAAAATGAACAGAACCTGAATCTGACAATAGATTGCCATTCTCAGGGGGATTCGGATCTTTGAGGGACAAGGAATGATATCCATGGGCTTCCCACTTTGCTAACTTCTTCTCCTCTGCCTTCTTCCTTGCCTCCTCAAGTCTAACATGTCTCTCCTGGATCAAATTATACTTGTTCTCTAAATCGATCAATGGGCTGCAAGTTGATTCTGATTCTTTTTTGAACTTTTCAACCCAAGCAAGATATGATGCCTCATCGAGACCAGGATCATAGTTGACTAAAGCAGCATCTTCCCCAACTGGATTAATAAGCTCAACTTTCTGATCATCCTTCCCCAGTCCGCGGTTATGGCGGGTAGCAATTGCTTTTTCTGCAACAGCAAGCAACTCTTCCTCACTTAGTTCACCTGATTTTTCACGATGGATATCCGGAGAAGGATCAAACATGTGCAACCCAAATATGATGGATCGCATGTCACCAATGTCAGCTCCAGTTGCTTCTTCTCCCGTGTGATCTACAGTTTCATCTCCAATGACGTTATGGCTAAGCTGCAATTTCCTTTCCGCCCTTCGCATAATAATCTACATCCACAACCATACAAAGCTGACTGAATACCTTTTTTTTCGAAAAATCTGTGATCTTGATCTAGTTAATAGTTGATTACCTCCTCCACGGAATGCCTTGTAACCAAGTTTATGCACAACACGTGATTCATTTGACCAATTCGATGCGCTCGTTGCAGGGCCTGCTTGTCAACTTGGGGATTCCAGTCTTGCTCATAGAATATAACCTAAACGTCCAAAAAATTTCATAAGGTATCATCAATAATCCACTAACTCTGCATGTAAATTAAAATACTGTTAATCATGACAGGAATCCTTGCAAGTTTTAAAATTTCAATTTGAGAAGACAGTTCCTCATAATAGTTAGATTAGCTTAATTAACATGGAACATTTCCCATGAATCCAATGAAGAAAGAACTTTAAAGAAAGCAGATAAAGGGTTTCAGACAGCAATGCTCCAAGAACCTTAAACGCACTCACAGTATCTGCAGCAACAAGATTCAAGCCAACACCACCAGCTCTTGTAGAAATCATGAAAACGAAAGCAGTGCTTTCATCAGATGCAGAACTTTCGCTTCCCGATTTCCGGCTGAAACTTCTTATTGCAGCAAACCGCTCTTCTGCCCGAATGGAACCATCAAGACGCTCGTACGAGTACTTGCGTAACTCCAAATAATCCTATGTTTCATCCGAGTTGTAAAGTTATATAGATTCAGACTGTAATCTTAAACTCTGAACCAAATCATGCCAAATGAGCAAGAAAGCCAGGTGGATCACATACCTGCAAAATGTCTAGTGTGTTGGTCATCTGAGCAAAGAGCAGGACTCGATGCCCAAACGCATGTAGCTTCTGAAGTATGTGATCCAGAATCAAGAGTTTCCCACAGGCCTAAAAATGAGAAGTGCAGACAAAATAGGGGAGTCAAACCATCAGCACTCAGCAGTTCAACACTGAGATTATACTTCAAGATTCTATTTCCATGTAAAAGACATCACCATCATAACCAAGCAATCACGTGCTTCCAATACTCAGATAAACATGAAGAGGTAAGTTACTTGTTTTCATATGGTTAGACATTAGTTTGTTATAATGAGTTTGTCCTGTGTAATGTTTGTTGTTATAAAAGTACATAGAAGGATTAAGGACCCCATATAAAATTCCCATGAACACACTTCTCAATGCAAGCTTCTACATGTATTCCGCATATTCTGTCCACAAACATGTTATTCATTGATAGTAAAAACAGTAACAATACACATTAGTACTATACAATTCTCATCTGGAAAAGAACAAGAACTTCAATTTTATCACATGCTCTTCGTCCAATTAAGAAACAACCTTTGACTAAAAATAAGCTTAAAACTATCCCATCTCTTTGATTATACCTAAGTTTTCTTATTTCAATGCCATCATGCAGTTAATGTTATACCAAGAACGAACCAGCTTAGAAGTTTAATTTCTTTGCTCTCTCTATTTGAAAATCAAGATATACCTGAACTAAGTGTTCACCCTCTTCATAGGGCTCAGGCTCAATTCCAGGAAAAAGGTAAGGGTGGCTACATGCTTTTCTTAGTTGTATCACCTGGAGAGAAGAAGCAAGGCGAACAAATGAAGGTTATTTACAGAATGAGATTGTCAAGTAGAACATGGTTATCACGGAAAGTCAAAATTACTTATATGAAGGAGCTCATCGGTTGCATACAATATTCTGCAATGATGGCTGATTAGAAGCTGCAGATGTTAGTGCAAGAAGCTTCGGAAGCTCTTTCCTCAATAGTGAAGTATAAACCTTCTTTTGCAGGCTAACCAACGGAGCCATCCTATAACGACAATGCATTTACTTCATGTGATGTTCTTGTTTGACCAATTAATAAAATGATTGAGCTTTCAGCAGATCCCCAATTTAAAATCGCAAAACAACTTACACGGTAATCTCGGTCAGCGGTGGCAGCCTGAGGTTTCCACACTCAATAAGCTTAGCTTTTGTCCTCCGAAGCATGAAGGCTTTCAATATCTGCTTTAGAGACTTAAACTGCTCTTTGACTTTGGGATCATCAAGATCAACACAACATTTCAGCTGAATTATTAGCATATGTAAATAAACCAACAGCCATGGCACCATATCAGCTGGCAATATAAAGTGACAACATGAGAAACATCGTGCTCGTATCTACTGTTATTTCGAAGATAAGTCAGTGTATGCAATAAAGCTTATCAGAGAAACGAACCAATGAGTAGTCAAATAATCGACTTTGGAGAGAATTTTCAAGCATGAGAAAGATAGCATCCGTAGTAATTGAAGATAAGGACTAAGGAGACAACCTGTCATAGAATGAGTAGCTTCCTCGAATGTTGAAAGGAACTGTTCTAGCGTCCCAAATACCGAAGGCATACAAAAATGCATCAAAGACCAAAGTTCAGTGAGATTATTCTGAATGGGAGTGCCAGTCATCAACAGTCGCCTTGGCAAGAGAAAGCGATCGCTAAGAACACCATACAGGACCTGGAGTTTTGCAGCAGTGAAACAGGAAATTTGTATACACAGTGAGTCAGTTTCGAATACTCCAGATATATGGTAAATTTCAATAGAACAGGTAGAATAACAGGATAACGAGAGCCCTGCTCTTAGCACTGTCAACTGTAAAATTGCATACCAGTTTGACATGCAAGTACCTAATTTCTAAATGTCTCAGGGCAAGTGTATAGAAGAACTCATTCAGATGCCAAATAAGGAGAGCTCAAGATACATATAAAATAAAATAAAAAATCCAATTGACATGATTCAGCATCAAAAGATCAACAAAATCAACACCAGAATTAGACACATAATCATCTCTAATGAACGAAAATGGAATCTCTAATCACATACACTGGAAGGATTTTTCAGTCTTTGAGCTTCATCAATAACTGCATATTGCCATGGGATTTGAGAGAGAAAATCTTGGTCCATCAATGCAGTCTCATAAGTCGTCAACAACACGTCAAAAGGCAATGTTACCTAAAAGGTAGGAAACGAACATGTAAAACTACACTTAACTTTTAAAGTGAAAGTTCTTATAACCTCTCGAGGAAATCAATGAGTCGCGAACTCACATTAGATGAAGAAGTCTGTTCTTCTACATGCTTATACATTGTCATTCGCAAAGAACGCCTATGTTCTTTATCACCAACATACCTAAGGATTTTAAGCATCGGAGTGAAGTTGGCCATCTCCAACACCCAACCATCTGTCACGCTTAGAGGACACAACACCACTGCCCATAAATTGAATAACGCAACTTCATCAAATTAGTTCTAACAAATTGATAATCTTTGGCTCAAAAGTTAAACAAAAACGATTCTCGAGACTTACAAAATGGGCCAGGCGACTTCTGCATAACTTTCAAGTAACTAAGGAAAGATATAGCTTGCAGCGTTTTCCCCAACCCCATCTGCCAATGACAGTTCAAATTGATTACATATTACGAAGAGGAAAAGTTCGGCACAAATCCGGAGCTCGGTTCACGAATAACAGTAACTTCCAGTGGGCAATTGAAGGGATGCAGAGCATATACCTCATCCCCTGCAACGACAATGCGGGTACAAATCAATAATTCAGTGTTTCAACCCTAAGTTCAAATTCAATCACGCCTGTATTTCAGTAGAACAAACAAAATGGAAGACCAAGCAGGCAAAAAACGCGGGAAAAAAAATGAGTCAAATCGTCGGGCTTCAGCTGAACAAGATGCCTCCTAAGAGAGAATCACGGAACGAAGATGCTCACCTAGAACAACATTGACGCCAAGAAGGTACCTCCGTATGAGCCAGGCAACACCTTCCACCTGGTGAGGCTTCAAGGTCGCTTCAACCCCGATTTCTCGAGGTTCTACGGTAGACTCGGCTGCGGCGGCGGCGGCGGTATCTTGCTCGTCTGCGTTGAGAATGATCTTCGCCGCCGTTAGTAATCGCTGCTCGTATCCCATCATCTTCTCCGAAGCTGCTTTTCCTTCTGCGGGACTCTGTCACTGTGATTGAGGCGGGAGGAGGAGGAGGTGAGCAAAAATGGGGAAAGGCGGTTAAAGAAATGAATGAAAGGACTGATTTGTCAAAAACTATACAGTACAAGGCTTCGTTTGTTCTAGAACATTAGTAGAGGGACCAGAGATGAAAAAATAACCGCTGCAGAATTATAAACGGCAGCAGAAGGCGACGTCACTCAAAACTCATTGACGTTTCCGTGACCTAACGGAAATCCAGTCGGTCGGCCCAAAAAATTAATTAAATGGAAAAAGAAAATTATAAGACCCCTGAGAGAATAACGACAGCAATAACCTCTCTCTTACACCATCGTCGGCCTCTATCAATCTCCGGCAGCAATAATGACTTCGGTATCGGCTGGGGATCTTGTAGTCGAGCAATCAGAACCGGATTTCCTTCCAGGGATGGCGGCGGCGGCGGCGACAGCGGAGGCTGAGCAAGGGATTGAAGCTGGAGCAGAAGCGCAGCAGGGCGAGGTCGCGGCGGCGCAACCACAAGCACTAGCTGAGGAGAAGTGGCCGGGATGGCCAGGGCATAACGTGTTCAGGCTGATAGTTCCGGTACTGAAAGTAGGTAGCATTATCGGAAGAAAGGGCGAGCTGATTAAAAAGATGTGCGAGGAAACACGAGCACGAGTTCGCATCCTCGAAGGCCCCCTAAGTACTCCCTATCGAATCGTCAGTATCCCTCCCTTCCCCTTTCAATCCTATTATCGTTTGCGAAATTTGATCCTTGTTTACTTTGTGATTGAAAGGTTTGAGCTTTGATTGGGTTTCGTTGTTCAATTGCGAATTGAGATTGTTAGTATGCAAACCCTAGTACTTGGTCGTCGTGTCCAGTTGTCGGATTGAGAACCATCAATGGCGCCTGAATGAGATAACGGAGTGTGGTTTTAGGTATTTTATGAATGTTGCTAGCTGAACGATAGTTAGCTGGGGCAAAGCCATTGTATTTAGGTTTTCTTTTCTTTTGTGCTTATTCAGCTTATACCATTATCGAATCCAGGATTGTTGAGCTTTCTATCTAGGATTTTTCTTATTTGGAAAATCATGGTTGCGATTGAGTTTAGCCTGGCTGATAGATTGGCTACTAAGTGAGCTTTGATTTGTTTCAGCTACTTGAGTTTAGTTGGAAACCTTTTGTCTTTCTGCTAGTTCTGTGCTGAACTGAATGCATGAAAAAGCTGGTAGTTCCTCTATATAATTATTTCAAACACCAGTTTTGAGAGCCCTCTTCCAAAGTCTATCTGCAAATACCTAGATTGTCAAAGTTCTAGCAAATTGGATTCCAGGAGGCTGATGATCTAGTTGTGGAGAAGCTGGGAACTAAGTTGCCTTTCGATTAATTTTCTTGCAGTGTAGTTTGTAGTATAAAGCATAATCATTCCCCATGTTCTTCTGGTTAGATTTTTTCCTGGAAAATGCTTAAGGTACAGAATTTAGCTGGGTAATGTTACTGATCTTTTGGTCTAGGGTACAGTAATCTGTAGTTCTGTCTTGTGATCTAAGTTATCTACAATTGTGTGTGGTAAGTGAGAAACTAATGAGAATTTCTAGGTCTTTATGAAATTGTCTTGCAATTTCCCTCCATTTCTGTTGCTCGTCATGTAGATAACAAGAAAGTGGAAGTGATTTCTTTTTTTCGTGCATTTCTGGAAGGGGTCCAAATGGTGGTTAATCAATCTACTCCACTGTGCATTTCTGATTTCTCCCATGTAAAGAAGTTATGTTAGAGAACATGATAGATGTTGGTGATATTTAATAAGCTTTACTTACTATCTGACCCACAAATGTTGTGAACTGTGGATTTGATTGTGGTTCCCGAAGTATCTATTTGCTCATAGGTGAAATGTTGGGAGAGAGAAGTGACCGGCCATGGGCATTTGCTAGTTACTTGCATATGGTTTCTGTTCTCTTGTCATGAATTTTTTCTCATTCTTGTATCCGGATTTTGGGAAGGTTATCTACATTCTGGCTGAATTATGGAGCATACTGAATCTGTTATGGAAATAGGGGATGAAATTCTTTTTTCTTTGTTCGTCCTTGCTAGGTTTTGATAACTGGAAAAGAAGATCCAGAAGCACCACTATCACCTGCAATGGATGCGGTGTTAAGAGTATGCAAACGTGTCAATGGTCCATCTTCTGGTGAAGGTGACAACACAAATGCTGCAGCTGCCGGCGCTGCAATTTGTTCCATTAAGTTATTAGTTGCAAGCTCACAAGCAATTAATTTAATTGGAAAGCAGGGATCCATAATCAGATCGATACAGGAGAGTAGTGGTGCAGCTGTAAGGGTGTTAGCAGAAGGTGACCCTCAAATAGTATCTTTTTGTTGCTCTTCATCTTCAAATGAATTAGTTGAAGTTTTTTAGACGAATCTTTCCATTTCCAACGTAACAACATATGACTATTTATTCATCTATAGTCTCTTTTTTACATGCTTGACTAATCATGCCTATGCCTATGTGGTGTTGTTTGCTATCAATTTAGCATAACAAATTGGGAAAACTGTTTTGACAGTATTCCTTTTCCAGAACCTCTTTAGGATCAGCATGGTTTTCTGAGTCGAGCATGTACTAATTTAAACTCAATGCTTACCTTATCAGCATGGTTATCTCAAAACTATGTCTGGAAGTCGCTAACTTTTTTTTTTTCACCTTCTTTATTTCCGGGAAAGGAAAAATCTTAATATGCATGCTTCTCTTTGTAGATCAATCGCCATCATATGCTGCTTCAGAAGAGCGACTTGTTGAGATACACGGGGAAACACTGAAGGTACTAAGTGCTCTAGAAGCAGTAATTGGACAACTGAGGAAGTTCTTGGTTGACCAGAGTGTCATTCCCATATTTGAGAAAATTGTAAGTTGTAATGTTAGACCTTACTTGATCTTGGTTTAGGAATTAAAAAAGCGTTATGCTAATATGCTGTGTCTGCTGCAGACACAGGAGCGCTCTGCTGATTCCAAGCCTGATAGGGTACAGCCCTCAATGCGGCAGACTGTTTCTGCTTCTCATGCAGGGAGTATCAGTTCTGAATATTCCCTGTCTATAAAGCGGGATCCTTTACTATTTGAGCGCGAGGCACGCATTGAACAACAAAAACATGCACATGCACTTGGATTGCGTTCAACGGGTCTTGGTCACGCTAATGTACCCATAGTCACTCAGGTAGGGTCTGGAATTGCTCATGGTAGTCTTTTAAATCACAGTTTCAGTGATCTTTACACTATTTTGTTCTGTTAAATTGTTACTCAAGAAATCTGGAACATTCAAGTATGAAATTGTTATGGGCTTTTTGTTTCAGGTGACGCAAACTATGCAAGTGCCCCTCTCATATGCAGGGAATATAATTGGAGTTAATGGGACGAACATTGCCTACATTCGCCGTGTCAGTGGAGCAGTTCTCACAATTCAAGAGAGCAGAGGTTATCCTGATGAGATCATCGTGGAAATCAAGGGCAGTACTTCCCAGGTCGAGAGGGCTCAACAGCTAATTCAGGTTCGTTTACAACGTTTCCCTCGATTAGAACGTCAGAGCTTGTACTAATACAATCATTCTTCTGTTGCTGGAGTAGCTAAAACAAAAACGGTTGTCGTAATTTGTTTTGCAGGAGTTTGTAGGTAATCACAAGGATCCGGTGGTGGCACCACCGAGTTCGTACGGGAAGGTCGATGCAGGATACAGTTCATACTCACAACAGTTGTCAGAGACCAACTATCCATCTTCTTACTCTCCTAGACTAGGTGAAGGAGGAGCTTATGGTTCCCCTGCGTTAGGATTAGGAGGCTATAGCGGTTACAGATATTGAATAATAACCATGTTGTAATGTAATCAAATCTACTGAGCTGCTTTCACTCACGGCCTGAATGCATGTTTCTGTAGTGGCTTCTGTGGTTGAACTTTTTTCATAACATAGAACATATATCTGTAAATTATCATTCCTTTGCCTCCAGATTTTAACTTTAGTCGAGTTAGCGAATTGTTTACCCCGTTCGATTGCAAGTGTTGTGTTGATTGGCGAAATCGATGAGATTGCAATATTGCATGAATTTTTTTGGTTATATGCATTTTTTTGAAATGTGCGTGAATGTCACTCTATTGACTGAAGTGAGCTTCCGAACTGTAATGCAATTTGGCGAACATTTTTTTTATTATCTCGTCATGGCTTCATACTGCAAATATCAACTTTGTCGAAGAGCTTGAAGGATAAAAACCAGTAAACCACGTTTGTTCACCTTGCCGTCGCCTAAATCCCCTACTTCAGCTCTTTGCTTTGTGCCGCATCTCTTCGTTCTCTGCAACAGCCAACAGCCCAAAGGCAGCCACCCGCCCGCTCGCCCGCTGGTTTCTGAATTTGGTTCATAAGTTAGATTTCTTTTGATTTCACACGATCCTAACCCCGGCCGTCGTTTCTGCGACCTAATTCGAAGGCGCTGGTTAAATGATTCAGCTGACGGCACGCTGCTGGTGCCTTACCCTCCTTCATCATCCGACTCCGGCAGCGATGGCCCTGGTACGTTAACCTGAATGATATTGGTCTTGGAATCCTGTAGTGGTGGATTTTTCCAGCGTATCTTAGACTCCGTATGCTAATTACGTGGTTGTTTTTGAGATTACAGTTATTCTTGGCTCGTGGAGAATCGTCAATGGTGGCAATTCAAATCTCTTTCATTCAGTTTCTGGACCAAGCTGTTGGGAACATCAGGCGCAAGTTTGATGATATAATCGCCGATATGAGCTGTTGCAAAGCTATCACAGATTCATATCTGAGGTAAGAATTGCCTATTTTTGGCGAGAGGTCAAAATTTGATTCCATTACATTCTGCCCCTCAATTAACATTTTCCAGTCTGAACCTCAAATATCGTCAGGCACGGCAATGTGCTTGGTAATGGCTCTTTGGAAGACGTCATGAACTCTATAGGGCGTCATTGCCAGTTAAGATCTGAGGACTGGTTCTCAAACAATAGTGAAGATAATAATAATGGAGGAAATTCACAGGCTGTTTTCAGTGTGTTGGATGATATGCTAAGGGAACGTCTGGAACAATTGAAATCGATGAGGTGAGGGCTGACCTTTTTGGATTCCCTTTTATATTACACATGGTTTGTAGCAAGATGCATCAATTGAAGGTGATATTTATTGGTTGAATGATTTGGATTACTTGCAAATTTGTTGAGTTAGAGAAGCGTTAAATTTTTTAGCCCTTCTCGGTTTATTTTTGCAGGGAAAGCATGTCTGTGAGTGTGATGAACATTGATGTAGTTGCACCTATCAAAGAAAACATTAATCTAGATGGAATTGCTACTGTTGATCTTAGAGAGCATTCATCTGCGATTAGGAATTTATGTTTAGGGGGTAAGTTGGGAGCTGCTTTGTCGCTGAGGAGAAAAATGATGCAGAAAGGTTTCGTGGCTGATGTTTTCACCCACAATCATATTGTGAATGGACTATGTAGGAGGGGGGAGCTGGACATGGCAGGTAGGCTTATTAGCGAAATGTTGGAGAAGGGTCCGCTTCCCAACTCTGCCACCTATAATATCCTTGTCAAGTGGTACTGTCTCATGATTAATCCTCAAAGAGCTTGCGATCTGCTCTCTCATATGAGTAGAACTGGTGTCAGGGTGAACACGGTTACAATTAATATACTTGTGGATGCATTCTGTAAGGAGGGTATTTTTGAAGAAGCTTATAAAATATTGGAGGAAAATCTAACAGCAAAACCGAATTTGGAAACCTTCACCATCTTCATGGATGGCTACCTCAAGAGCAAACATTTTGGTCAAGCCATTGTTGTTTGGGAAGTAATGTTGGAAAACAATCTTCATATGGATGTTGTTGCATATACCGTTCTTCTCCATGGACTTTGCTGGCTGGCGAGATGGAACTTGTATATAGCTATTCTTGTCAAATGCTTAAAAGAGGTATTCTTCCTGATATCTTTACATATAACACCATCATATCTGGCCTTTGTAGAGTGGGAAAGTTTGATGAAGTGAAATACATCCAGAATGTGATGCTAAGTATGGGCGTCGCTCCAGCTCAAATTTCATGCAAAATTATTATTCGCAGCTTATGTCTCCGGGATGTTTATCAGGCAAAAGATTACCTAATTTATATGTTGCAACAGGAAATAGTACCCGAACCTCTTGTGTGGAACCTTGTAATAGATGGTCTTGGTAGACTCGGAGATCTTGATACAGCAGACGAAATTTTGAAACAGATGCTGTCAAAGGGTGTTGAACCAAATGTGTATACCTACAATGCATTGTTTCTTGCATGTATGAGAAAAGGAGGCATCAATGCTGCAGTTAGTTGGAAAAAAGACATGCTTTCTAAAGGGATTAATCCTGATGTGGTGACATATAATCTCTTGATAGGTGCAGCTTGCATTGGACAGGATATCCGGCATGCATATCTATTACTTTATGAAATGCAGCTAAGAAATCTGGAACCAGATATGATAACTTACACAAAACTGATCCGAGCTCACTTTATGAGCGGTAACTTGAATGCCGCACAGGAAGTATTTTCCTACTTAAGTAAGTCTGGTTTAGCTGTAGATCGTGTTTCATCTCTGATACTTACCAAGAGTTATAAAAATATGAGACAGTTAGACCGTTATATAAAGTGGCGGGAGAGGAATCATGGAATCTTGGCTATTCAGGGAGAGGCTGTAGACGCTTCTAGTTAAACGTTCGTTGTAACGGGTTGATGGCTACCCTTTTGTAGCACTGCACTGTGGAGGTTCTGTATAATATACACAGTTGTCCACTGTAAGATCTCTTTGTGATGGATCATAAATTCTTCTGCTCCCTTTCTAAGTAAATGAAAATTGTAATGGTGGCAGTTTTGTCTTCTAGATAAATTGGCCTAGCTGCTTAGGATGAGAAGTCGAAGAGCTTCATGGTGAATTTTCAAGGTTAATCTGTAGTGAAGTTTCAAGGTTCTGAAAGCATTGCTGCAACGGCTGAGATCTTACGAGTCTATTATACCTTCATCCCTATTTTGAGAAAACTGTAAGTAGCAGACCCAATATTGTTATGTAAGTAGCAGACCCATTTTGATAATACAAACTAATAGCGTGCTCCTTGCAGTGCAACAATGACACCTGAATGCTCTGCTGATAGCAAGCTGATAATTGTAAGTCCGCAATGCCACCTCTCATTGCTTTTTGGGCAGTGATTACACTGAAGGGGCTAGTGATTGTGAAATTTTCTAGAAGGGCTATTTATCTTCTTAGCAGCGTTTATATAACCCATTTTCCAGTTTTCCTTTAACTCATGTCCCTTGATGCAACATTATTTATTGGGTGGGATAACAATTCTGGTGGCATTGCCAAATTTCTGTTTTACCCCACTGAGTACAGTTGCAGCTCAAGATCGAATGTAGTTACGTTTTATCCACATCAACGGACTGCTGATATGTGCTTTTGCTTACAGGAATTTGAGTCACAGTGCCAAACAAGTTAGTGGGTTTAAAACTTTATTCCATATTCGAGGTAAACATGCACAGATTGAACTTGGCTTTCTCTGTTGGTTTTCTCATTGTATTTTCTCCAAACATGAATTTAATCCTTTACTTATTTGTCCGTAATGCAATTATGCTTCAGGTGGCAAAACCATGCGGGAAGTTCTCTCGCATATGCAAAGGACCCCATTGAAATTTATGGGTTGGATATTGCCTGTATTTCTGTGTCAGGTGAGCAGTTCTCACAAGTGCAGAGAGTAAGATGTTTATCAGATGAGATCACTGCAGAAGTCAAGAGCAGCAGTTATCAGGTCTGAGATGGCTTAAAAGCTTATTCAGGTACATATTTTTTGCTGGCTAGCATGTCAGTGAGCATATCAAGTTAGCCTTTTCATGCTTGAATATTCTTCAAAAAAAAAAAATTATATTGTGTTACCCTGTATCTTTTTTGGTGCTTGCATCTACTTAGCTTAACTGCTTGATTGAATTTACTCTCTCTGTATCAAAGATAATGTGATAATTAAACAAGCATTAATAGTAGTTATTATGTTCCTGTTTCCTTCTGAATACTGTCATATGCAAAATTTCTAGCAAAATGAAGTGGTTATCTTTTGCAGGAGGTCGTTAATGATCAAGGACTGGTGCCACCCAGTTTGGATCAGATGATATGTGCAGGTAATAAGCTGTGCTCTGAAAATCAAATAGTAGGCTAAACGCTAAAGATTATTTTCATTACACGAGTCGGACAAAGGAGTGGATCCATGTTCCAAGATTGCAGTCTTTGTCTTGACATGACAGTTGACATTGTTTTGCAGATCGTGAGACGGATAATCTTACAACGCTGAAAATCAACCCCATAAACACTGCCCAGCCAATAACCCCACCATACTTCAACGGCACTTATACACATCTGCAAAACGTCTGAACAGCCAACATCGCCAACAGCAACACAACAGCCATCACCTTAGCAACACCCCACGAAACATTCATATACTTCTTCACCACCTTTGGCATCTTGATCTTCCTATGGCTGTTGTAGTGCTCATTCACTCCCTTGACATAATCATCAAAACCCGTCTTGTCTTCCGGATCACCACTCCCTGCCATCCCAGCAAATAGCTCCACCATCTTCCCCTGCTATTCTCACTGCAGCCTTATTTGTTCTCCCCCTTTTTCTGCTGTTCATCCAGAGGTTTCTCTTTCAGCCAAGTCAACTGGCACGTAACATCCAGCAGGTGCCACGGCTTGATAATGCCTACTTCCTGGTATGTCTCGTGTAGGTCAAAAGGCGACAGCTTGCAACAGAAGTCAAATAACAGCAGAGGATATGGTCGTAGTTGCAAAGATAGTCGAACAAGTATAAACCGTCGATGGCCATGATCCAGTCCATGGCTTCGTTGTAGATTTCCTAGTGCTTGTCGTACGAACAGCGGATTTGGGGCAGTAACGTGGACAGGCTCTGGATGGGCAGTAACGTGGACAGGCTCTGGATGGGCAGTAACGTGGGAGGCGGGAAGTGCAGAAGCCTGCTTTTTATCATGTGGGGCGGATAAATGATGAGAGGGGGAAAAGAGAGGAGAGGGAGTTGGGTGCTTGCTGTTTCAGAATTCTGCTAAAAAGAGATCCAAAAGAGGGAATTTCAAAGTGGGGATTAAGAGAGTGGAATGTGATGAGAGAACAAAGATTGCTACCAAACACTGAATTGGCTGTTTGCTTCACCTTTGCCCATTTATGCTTCTAATGTAATTGCACTGAATTATATTCAAGAACCAGGATAGAATGCGAAGTGCGAATCAAAATTGATAGATTGAATGCTTAGTTTGCTACAGAAAAACAAAACTGATAGACACATCAGTGTACATAATCCAATTCAAACTGTGGGATGCAAGGCAAACCAGCCCCAAATTCTATCTGATAACACTAACACGAAAGATCTAGCTCCAACTAGCTTGAATTTCAGAACAGCTTACTCTAAAAAAATCAACTAGAGCATGCAATCCGTCTATACATGGCTTGGAACGTCTGTCCCCCATTCCTAGCAACTTTCTGCCCTTCTTCCGTCGCAGTACTCAAGAGCTTGACAACAGGATCCGCTTCAAGTTCTTCAGGTGTCAGGGACTCGAACATGGGGTGCTGCTCCAAACAAGCCTTCATCCACTCCCCGAGCTCTTCCACATCAGTGATGGTGTATACGATCCCACCAACCTGGAGCACATATGCGTACTCGTCCAACAAGTGCGGGCTGATCACTCGCCTCCGGTGATTCTTCTCCTTGAAGTGGGGATCGGGGAAAAGGAAGAACATCTTCGACAGCTGCCCTTTCTCAAAGTAATTAGGGATGTACTTCATCGAATTCGTCCTAAAAACCGAAACATTTCGGTACTGTCCAGGATTCGTTACCCTCAATGCCAAGATTCGTTCTTTGACATACTCTGTCACCTTATCTCTGAGCTCCATCCCAACCATCAAAGTTTCAGGGAAAAGGGTGGCCAGACTGATCAGCAAACCTCCAAACCCACAACCAACATCTGCAAACTGAATTCTTTTGGAACTACTGTCAACTTGATCGGACGAAGGAAAGAGTTCTGGGAAGTGGGCAGTGTAGTCGACATGACGAGGAGAGACCGGGACAGGGAAATGCGAATCACTTAACGGGTTGCTGTGTGCTCTTGCTCGATAGAAGCGTTTCCTAGGAAGGCCAGTCGACTTGCTGAAAGTTGGGTTTGCCTCGCTTTCCGGCATTGGTTCCTTATCTGAAAATTGCCAGAGAAGAAAACATCAGGGCAAGCAGCAGCAACAACAGCAGAAACAGCAGTTACAAACGAACTAACTACAGATACCATCCTAAATGCATCCATGAATATCACCAACAAGAACAAAAATGAAACCCTAACATTGCAACTGGACAGCTAAACAAAATGAAGCGGGGAAACCAAATACTACACCCCGTCAGTCGACCTACCCCGACAAAATTAGCGCCACACCAAACTCAAAACAAACAAAAGTGAAGCTTCCGAGTGCAATGAAATCAGAAATCAGGAAACAGATTACAGTTCGGGAGAAATCGAATCAGGAACACACATTCTGCAGCTCAGGCATTAAGCGGAGAAGAGGATAATAAGTGAAGGATAGGAGGTCTTACAAGAATGGAGAAAGAAACGCCGCCGGAAGATCGCCAAGTAAACCGGATCGGAATGGTATTGCAAATCACGGCCACCGACGATTGAAGCAAATTTGGTCGGCGGGGTTGCAGCGAGAGAAAGAGAGGAGGGACGACGGGTTTTAGGTTTCGCGGATTGGAATTTGAGATTCTCAGATCCGGTGGAAAAATTTGCGAGCGTCCCCCTCTCCAATTTCCCTCCGGCGATGCCTCCGTCGGAGTTTTCTTTGTTTGTTTCCGACGATGCTGCTCGTTGGAAGGACGGGGATGAATGCAACAAGGGGCAGAACGGTTGTGATATAAATATGATAGCGACCGACTACGCGGGTTCAAGGACCCAAAAAAAAAAGGAAATTAAAAATAAATTCAGAATCCTTGGGGTTGTTTGGAAGCTGCGATTGTTTTGTTGAGATTGTCATTATGCATGTATTGTTTACAATGCATTGTTTTTTTTTGTTTTTTAGCAGAAACAATACATGGATTGTTTCTGTGATGTGACAGAAACTATCACTCATTTTGAGTGATTGTTAAATCTCAACTTTTAGTTGTGATTGTTGAGATAGTTGAGTTGAGATTTTTTTGTCTAAGCTTTTAGCTGATGCGACATACACAATCACACATACCAAACATTGTATTCTACAATGCATCAAATTCGACAATACATGTATAATATTATACATGCATTCTCAACAATATATCTATTTAACAATCGCAACTTCCAAACGACCCCCTTGTTGTCTGCCGCACGTAATAGAACACATATTGAAAACTAGCTTTTTGCCCGGCCTTTGGCCGGGGTTGATTTGACATGTATTTATTGTCTCTAGTTCTTAAATCGTTTTTTTTTTTATAATAGTGATGAACTTATATCATTATTTTTATACTTGTGTTTCAAACGATTACAACATACTACAGATTTTTACTACATATAAACTTTTGTGCCAATTGATTAATGAATTTTTTAGACCATATACATATATGGCAAAAGCTAGTGCAAGTCTGTGTTCATCCTTGTTTGGATAATTCAGACGAATTAGAAGTGTACTTGGATAATTCCGATGAATCATAATCATTGATTTTTATTTTGAGATTAAATAAACTTAAAGTTTTGGTTCAGGAATTGATGATTGAGGTTCACCCATTAGAAGTCAAATATAGTATTATGCTTCAAACTACGACTAATTCAATATCTAAATATAAAAATGGACAGGTGTATGACAAACTAAGCGTATGTCAGATATACGCTAGCTTGAAACATATTGGTGAATGGTAATATATAAATGTTCAAGCCTACTAATGTAAAATAGTTAACTAATTAATTAGTTCTTTAATCTTAGGTGACTAAATTATAATTTTGAACTCTTAAAGGTGATTATCCATGCTAAAAGTTGCGGTTGAAATTTTGAGCAAAATTGGAGGGTAGAGAAAGCCCTTTGTCAGTGAGTTTACAATTCGTCCCTCCGCAGAGGTTCCAGAGTAAAGATATTCAATCTCCAACCAAGAATCGCAGATCTGCCCAGTGGTAGAGATAGAAGTAAGGGTTTTGAGCATGATCCATGAATTTGTATCGGAGATTGTATTTGGATAGTCAGCGGCATGGTACGTTATGGTAAAATCGTGGTTTAACCATAGCTCAATCATTAGCACCGTTAAATACCGCCTACCGATTTAGCCTTCAATATTGTTATTTCATATAGTTGAACCACCGATATGGTACGGTTTCATGGACCATGATTTTGAGCAGTGGGCGGCGGGAAAAATGAACGTGAGGAAGTGGCGTATAAATTCCGCCGTACCTCCGCTTGGGTCGCTTCATAGAAGTTGGAACCGATAAGAATTTCGATAGAAGCGATGGAGAGTGGTTGGGTTGGGGCGAACATGCGGGAAATTGAAATTTGATTATGAATGACAAAGGGGAGCAGAACAGAGGCAGAGAAAGAATCGAAGCATGGAATGACAAAGTAAATAGCCAGCATGGTGGAAATGATGGTGCAGAATCGGCGGCGAGATCTGTCGGGAGTAAGATTAGAAGAAGCAGCGGCCGAGCGGCGGTTGGGCTTGAATATGTTATTCTTGCTCGACATGGGGTAATCGTAATACCGTAATAGCGGAGGCAGAGAGGAAAAGAAAACGCAGCGGTATAGTTGGGACGGTTGGGGAAATAAATCGGCTGACGTGGCCGCGTAAAATGCTAGCAAGGGGTACGTGTAGGGCTGCAAATGAGCCAAGTCGTTCGCGAGCAACTCGGCGTTCGAATCGGGAAAAATTCGTTCGACACTCGACTCGTTATTTAACAAGCCGGCTCGCGAGCCAACTCGTTAGTTAACGAGCCAAGCCTGAGCTAGACCATGCTCAGCTTGATAAGCTCGCGAGCTAGCTTGATTTGGTGGCTTGTCGAGCTAAGCTCGCGAGCTGCCTTGTTTTGAGCTTGTGGAAGGATGAATTACTCTTTTAAACATGAACATTATCTTATAATACAGATGTGTATGAAATTTAGATGTTATTTCTAGTTTCTAGTGTTCTTTCTATCATTTAAATTCTTATGTTTATACATTTTTTCCAGCAAAAATGATTTTAAATCGAGCTCATCTTGAGCCGAGCTTGTACTTAGCTTGACAAGCTATGTTAATGAGCATTTATCGAGCTCTACCGAGTCGAGCTCGAGCTAGATTATTTTTATTCAAGCCGAGCTCGAGCTGGATTATCAAAATTCGAGTTCGAGCCGAGCTCGAGCTGAAAAATTAATAAACGAGCCGAGCTCAAGCTAAGCAAAAACTCGACTCGACTCGGGCTCGTGTGCAGCTATAGGTGTCAATCGGGCGGGTTCGGGCTGGGTTCAATCGGGTTCGGGTTCAAACGGGTTGTGGGTTAGTCGGGTTGCGGGTTCATCGGGTTCGGGTTCAAACGGGTTGCGGGTTAGTCGGGTTGCGGGTTCATCGGGTTCGGATTCAATCGGGTTGCGGGTTCATCGGGTTTTGGGTCGGGCGGGTTGCGAGCGGGTAGGGTTTCGGGTTGTTCGGGCCAGCGCATCAAGTAACTTAACTCATTACTCATTACCAACTTACACATTTTATTACACTAATTTAAAATATTTTCTCAACTTTTTAACCAATTTATTTCTACCTCGTATATATATACTTTATTTTTTTGAAAAAAAAACTAGTCAAAATGTTAAATCAATTTGTATGACTTGCAAACTTGTTATGTAATTAATCATAATTGGTACAGTATTATAGCTAATAGTAATGGTGATATCAATATTTGCAACCAAAAGACATCGTTAATTGTTTATTTGATATTTTAGTATTAATTCAGTAGTAATTGGATTAAAGTATTTCGTTTAGTATAACCATGCAAATCTGGTATTTGGCGTGTGGTATTTGGCAAAAGCATAGTGATAAAAGGAGTTATTTCAAAATAACTCATTGCCCAAATAACTTTAGTAAACTGTTGCCAAACGAGTTATTTGTAAAATTGTTCGAATTATCCTAAAAATTGAACCATTAAAGATTAGCTATCAAATTTAGTAAAATTATTGTGACTTCAATCATAACTTACTCAATAGCATATATCCTATACACTTAGCTTTACCCTCAATCAACAATATTAAGTTAGTATATGTTGTTGATTGTATACCCTAAACCATCAATACATTATACACTAACCACATAACCTATACCCTAATCATATGTTCCACTTTCGGGCTTATTTTATTATTTGGGAAATCAGTACACACGTCCCAGCAACTACTCAAAAAAAATGTCAATACCAAGACTTGAACTCGAGTCCTTCAAATTGACAGTCAATATCCCTAACCAACTGGACTACAACAATGTTTATGTATTTTTTGAATTAAAGAGACAAAATACTGAAATATCTCAAAATCATAGGACTATCCACCGCAACAATCAATCATAGAATTAATTAATAATTATAATTATTTACAAAGTGAATCATCATGATATACCTAGCTTTATGAATCAACTAAGTGAGTTCCTCTAATCACACAATTCTTCACCAAGAATCAAATAGTACATTTTGAGTTTATGTATGTCTTACAACTTTTACATTTATTAGGTTACATGACTTTGCAGTTTGTAGGAATACAAGGATTGTTTACAAAAGTGCTATACAAAATTTTATTTCAAAACATAAAATTTGACATTTGTGATCTATGATTTTGTAACGAGACATTTTCAATGCTACAAGTGAATGACCAAAAATCATTGGCTAACAATTTCCCTAATGGTTGAGAATTATGAGCATAGAATTGAAAGACTAAATACCATTGACAAATGAGCCAATTATCATTGACTAAATTTAACAAACAATGGTATGTGTATATACATTGGGAATTATACGGTACGCTCGATGGATTGAGGGTTATTGCATCCCCTTAGTTAAATAACATTATCTGGACCATAGATTAATCACGTAACTAAACCCTATATCATAATTCTCTAAATCCTAATATAGTGCATATGATATGTTGTATACATCTTGGCGAATCGGAATCATTGATTATGTTCTTAATATATGTGATATTAGGGTTTAAGTTCTATAGGTTTAGGGTATAAGATTTAATTATTTGAAACTTAATCTCCCTTTTTCAATTTGCTGCAATGAGAACGAAATTAGGAAGGACATTTTTGTCTTCACAATTATCTGTATTTTTTTATTTATTTACAGAAAAAGATAGACATATTGAGATTTGAACCATGGTCACTTCAAACAAAGTAAAGGTTTAAAATCAATCAGACTATGTAGATTTGTTGTTTTTTTTTAAATTAAAAATATATACGAATCTAAAATATGAAATCACAAAACTTTTTAACATTTAGCTAGCCCAATAAATATTCCGCAAGTACTTATTTGGTGTTTTCACTGTTTGATACTTAAAGTTTGATATTTTTATTTAATTATAGTTTAATACTTAATTTAAATTTTATCTATATTATAAATAGACAATAACCATAAATTTGCAACCAAAATATTGTTGGTTCCAATATTTCATATCGAATTATAGTATTGAATATGTAGAAGCGATATAGAATTCTTAAATTATCATTAATTTCCCTAACTATAGTGAAGCAATCATATCTTTATGCAAACTATAGGAGACCGGTTCTCTAAACATTTTTGTCCGGATAAATACTAAGTTTTGAAACTCTTCCTAGGGGTGTGCGTGGGTTGGTTCATTCGGGTTTAGATATTTTAATCACCTAACTCATATCCCACGATTTTGAAAACACTAAATACAAACTTACCCAAATAATTTAGAATTTTAACGGTTTGTGTCCTCCATACCAAATGACCAATTTACATGTCGCTTAACTAAGGACGATCTCATTGTCCAATCCCATCATTCTAATGTCAATCCATTAAAGTAACCCATATTCGCGTTTGTTAACACATGTTTCACATTGTCATTACTGTGACCGGTAACTTCGCTGCAACTTATTCGGTATTGCTCTTCATATGGCCTCCAAACTGATAAACATATGGGGCCAACAATTTTATGACAAAACTCAAAGTGAAGACAACTCATCGTCTGGTGGAATTTTGGCGTTTGCTGGTGTCCATTAATCTAATTGCAAGCATAATGATTGCTAAAATTAAGCTTTCACTCAACACACTGGGAGTTGGGGGTGCGTACTTGGAGTAAAAGTTGATATTGGGTTTGGGAAGGGATTAAGGGAAGTGGTGAGGAGAAGAAATTGTGTTTGGATTTGGTAGCAGGTAAAGTTCATGGTTCAGTTTCTTTTCGTAAAATGCTTTGATTTATTTAGTTAGAGGTATAATATCATGGTTATGCGGGATCAAATGAACCAAAAATGAGCTTGGGGATGGGAATTCTAACTTAGAAGGAGTGGATTAGATTTTGATAAACTCAAGTTCATGTTAACTGAAAGAATATTTAGATTTAGACTTGGTGGTATTGAGATGTTCATAGAGAGTCTAAAACTGATCCAAGGCCATGGATTGATATTGGTTAGTTGATTGTGATTTAGAGGAAGGTGTATAAAAGTCATGGAAGTAGTTTGCAACAAGTGAAGGCAGTGAAGAGGCAGTTGGTCAGGGTAGTGATTGAACCAAAGAGGGTATTGAAAGACATAGAAGCAAAATCGGAGCAGTTGAAGAGAGAGAAGTGGTAGATGATCAGGATATTAATGAAAATGGAGAGGGTATTGAAGGGCATGGAAGTGAACTGGATCAGGTGAAGGCATAGAAGGAGGAGAAAAGCATATTGATGGAATTGAAGATGAGTGTCGGTTTTACGAGCTTATTAAAACTGGCCCGAGGAAGATGAGTTGGCCAAATACAAGAAAGAGGAATTAGGAGTTGGAGATCAAACTGACAATAAACTCAATTGAAAGAGAAATTCAGGTTCATGGAGAGAAGGTCCATCAAAGTAGCATAAATGGAGTTGTAGAAGGAGGATTAAAAATTGATTTTTGGTTTAAAACATATACGTCGAGAGATTGAAGATGGAGGGGATAAAAAGTTGGTTGTACAACGGAGAGTAGAAACTATTGGATCTTTAGGTGTTATGGTTGTTGCAACTACCACAACCTATGTTTATGTTAAAACGAGGAATCATTGATTGATTTACTAAAGTTAAGGTCGAGCACTATTCAAACTACTGGAACCTGTAGATAAGGAGTGTCTAAATTTGTGCTCATTACTTTGATCGAGTCTATTAGCATATTGGATGTAACTCTAATTTTGTCATTTGCTTTCAAGTTTTGATGGTTTCCTTTTAGTTGAGTTGTTAGCATATGATTTCCTTGAATCAACAACTCTTCATTTCTTTTTTTTATTATTATTATAAATCCATTTCCTTTTTATTAGTGGCATGTTATTCATAGAGGAGAGCTTTGAACAATTTATGTGGGATTGTGAGGTTTCATTTCAGTTTCAAACTATCTATGGATCGTGTGAGAATTACAATGAGCTTTTATTTATATATTTCTGGACAATCTATTAAGCAATATCATTTTAATGGGGGCTCAATTATCATTATGAAAATGGGATTAATGATACATTTTTATATTCTTAAATGAGGAGGGTATTTTCCTGAATATTCGACCTATATATTCATTCTTTGTGTAGAATCTCGATTGAATAATTTTCAATAAACTTAAACAAATTAATAGACTTAAACGTAACATAAAAAATTTAAATATCAAAATATAAACATTCCGGCCAACGGGCCGGATTATAAGCTAGTAAATTAAAAAGGGATCTCCTGCCGTTAAAGACTTCAAATGACTTCAAGTGAACATATGTTAATAAAAAACTTAGAACCGTCAAAACCATCAATATCTTATACCCTAACCATATACACCCTAAACCATATGTACCTTATACCTTATACCCTAACCATATACTTTATATCCTAAACAACGAACCGTTAAAGATTACTTATCAAGTTTAGTATAAATTGTTGTAACTAATGGTTAATTTATTTATTAGCCCATAAAAAATTACATACATATATACATATTAGCCTTCAAAGCATATAAGAATAATTTTAACTAGTCATGCCCTCCATATAATAAAAGTTAAAGATTCATATTTCAAAAGCTAAAATTATGAAAAACAAAAAAATTGAAAACACCAAATTTGTTCCCTTCTTTCTTTTCACAAAAATACTAAAATTTCCCTCCTTCTTTCTCCTTCCATACATTAGAAAAACTCAATTTTCCCTCCTCTTTCTCTTCCATAAAATTGAAAGAACCAAATTACCCTCTTTTTTCCTTCTACAAAAAGTTGAAAAGTCAAAAGTTTCCCTCCTTATTTCTCTTTCATAATCAAAAGAATCAAACTTTCCCACTTCTTTCTCTTCCCACGAATCAAAACCACCAAAATTTCCACTTGTTTCTTTTCTAAAAAATTCAAAAAACCAAATTTTCCTCTTCTTTCTCTTCCCAAAAACTTGAATACACCAAAATTTCCCTCTTCTTTTAAAAACATCAAATTACCAAATACATTGCTTTACTTTATTTATATTTAATTGATAATTTATTGAATAGTTAAATTAACCAAAATTTTAATTTATATATTATATTAATATTGTCATGATCTCAAGTGACCTTCATGTTTCAATTTTTGTAATTTTCTTAAAATACGTAATATCAAGTGAGTTTCATATTTTTTAAATTTCTTATACGAAATGAAAAAATAATTTTACTTAAGTTTAGAATGAAAAACTTTATTTTGAAAAACTATGTATTGTATATTTTTATAATTATTCAAGTGGATTAGATGATATTCGGGTTGAGTCGGTCGGGTTACGGGTTAGTCGGGTTCGGGTCAATTGGGTTCGGGTTAATCGGGTTGCGGGTTAGTCGGGTTGCGAGTTAGTTGGGTTGCGGGTCAATAGGGTTGCGGGTCGGGCGGGTTACGGGTTGTTGACTTTTAGTCAATTCGGGTTGCGGTCGGGTTACGGGTCGGGTTGATCGGGCGGGTTAATCGGGTCGGGCTATGTTTTGACACCTATATTTGCAGCCCTAGGTGCAGGATGTCTTTTCGCTCAGGAAAACTTTCTTTATGATTTTCTCGGTCCCATTAGTAAATACTAAACTTAATACCAGAAAATAAGTAAATTTTAACAGGCAGAAACAGTTACCAAATATTGAGGGATGAAGGCAGGGAGGGAGTTCTTGCTTCCCTGCTGCTCTGAGTCTGGACCCAAAAGCTGTATGTTCCATCATACATGCCTCGCAACTCCGCATACCTTGGAATTGCAGGGTGGATTTAATGACCTTTCCTACCCTTACAGAGATATAGCTGCTACTGGTCAAGTGGTCGAACAAGCTGAACTGAATCCTTTGATGAGATTGTTGTCTGTGGAGTTCGATGAGGTTAGAGTATGCGGGAAGTTGGCCCGCTGTTGTACCGAATCTGGTCTCTTTTTTTTTTGTATGGTATTTTAATTCATGTTGAAGCTCTTTATTATCTTTGAATAGTTTATTTCTTATTTTGCAGAGCATGGCCATAACTTGTCCAAGCGTGCTGCAGCAAAGGAAGATTTGTCAAACAGTACCTCTCCACTGCTTTAGCAATATGTGTCATGGGGCTTCAACACTCTGCAATGGAGCAGAGGCGCGAATTTTTGAAGCAATCTTTGGATTTGGCTACCAATCGACAAGCTCAGAATACTGTGGACATGGGCGCTTAGCTAAACATTTTGACTGCTGATATTCGAATCTTGAAGTTTTGGTTCCAGAAGTTGGCTGATAGGAATGAATCAGAAGATTCTTTGAAAGAGATACATTCAGTGGTTCAATTTTGTGCATATGGTGAAGGTAAACTGTTCTTGAACTCTGATTTACTTTTTTGAAGAGCAAAGTGTTAGTAAGAATTTTTGTTGTTTGTTTTCAGAGGCTCTTGAGTTGGATGGATGAAGTAGCGTTTTGTATCCCTACGAAGATTGAGAAGGTACTTCATCAGCTTTAATAGCCTTCTTCTACGCCCTTTTCTTCATTGATTTGTGTATCAACTTCCCGCATAGGTTTCTTGTGATTCGCTAGGTTTCTTGTTTACTAATTTAATGCCCTAGTTTGGTCTCACAAGCCTGATAACGGTGACTAAGGTATTAATTATAGTATTCAATTTTGTGTTTTACTTGTTCATGGCTCTTGCTCTCGTTTTTCCTTTTTTAAAGATTTTTTTCATTCTTTATCTTATTGTTGTTTCTTATCTCTATGGAGAAGCTAGTGCATCTTAAACTTTGATACCTATCCTCTACGTCATTCCTTAAAAAGTTAAAGTCTATCATCTTATTGAGAAGGGTATCAAGGTTTGTTCTTTGTTCGAGTGTCCATCATTTGTGCATCTATATAGTAATAAAGACATCTAATAAAGACATGACATGAAATTTACTCTGGAGAAAAGACACAAAGTTAATACGTTTATCACTGTCGATAAATGATTGGAGTATGGGCACAAGTATGAACATATCATATCCAAGCGTGCTGCAGCCTACTTCAAAAAAAAAAAAAGGTCAACTTGTTGCTCTCGACCGCTGGAGTAATTAGTGTTGTGGGGCAGCTCTTTGCAATGAAGCAAAGACGGGAATTTTTGTAGCAGTCTCTAGCAACTTCTCGACAGTCTCAGAATGCAGTGAAAATGGAGGCTGAGATGAAACTGTTGAAAGCTGATACATAAAATTTTAATTTCTGGTCGGAGAAGTTTGAGGATAGGAATCAATCAGAAGATATTATCTAGGAATTTAAATCTGCTGCTTTCTCTTGTCCATATGGAGAAGGTAACTGTCTTGAACTTTGATCCCCTTACTTGACGAGCAAAGTGTGGGAGTAAGATTGTTTGTTGTTTGTTTCTTCAGGCTCTTGAGTTTGGACGGAAGAAGGGGTGAAAGTTGCTAGGAGTGGTGGTCAGGCTTTCCAAGCCGTTTATCGATGGATTGAATGTTCTAGTTAATCTTTCAAGAGTAAGTTGTGCTGAAATTATGGATGATGTTTATGGATGAATCAGTTTTGTGCTCTTGTAACAAACTAATCATTCGATCAATCAATTTTTTATTCACATTTCTCATTCTGTAAGTTAATTTAACCAATTAGTCAATTTAATTCTTTCACTAACATTTTCTTCTATAAGTCATGTCCTTTTAAACTAAAACTAGATCAGTTAATTATTTTAATTTCTAAATTTGTATGTTTAAAGATTCTATAACCACATTTAACTTTCACATTTTGTTTTATAAATCATGTATTTTATCAAGTTCTTTAACTTTTATATTCTTATGTTTATCAATTTTTTTTTGCATATAAGTATTTTTTTCACAGACAATCCATTTAAGACGAACCAGATCGTGTGTTGTGCATGGGAAGAGAGCGAGATCAACTCACAAACGATTAGAAAATGAAGGATCAATCCTTTTAAGATGACGGATATTCGTTTTCCAAACATAAGAATATTGAAAAACATGCTACAAATTGAAATGAATGATTGATTTTTATTCATAATTTACTAACTTGTTTTAAACATAACACAATTTCACATGTTTTTTTATAAATCATGTACTTTATCAAGTTTTTCAACTTTTACATTCTTATGATTATTGATTTTTTTGCATATAATAAGTATTTTTTTCACAAACAATCAATTAAGACGAATCAGATCGTGAGTTGTGCATGGGAAGAGAGCGAGATCAACTCACAAACAATTAGCAAATGAAAGATTGATCCTTTTAAGATGACGGACATCCGTTTTCCAAACATAAGAATATTGAAAAACATGCTACAAATTGAAAGGAGTGATTGATTTTTATTCATAATTTACTAATTTGTTTTATACATAACACAACAGAAAATTTAGGTTAATGTGATTTGGTTATCTCAAATAACATTTTTCTCCCTTTATATCATAGAAATATATTGATTTTCTTATATTATTTTTCAACCTTTTGCGATTATGGAGTCAAACTCCGACCCCCCAAAACTTAAATCCTGACTCCGCCCCTGTTTTTGATCACTTTGCAGCGTGCGACGTCTCATTTATAACAATCAATTTTAGAGCTATATCTCATGTCGTGTTACCAACCAAGGATGATTAAGATTGGTACAAACACTTCATTGATGCTCTCAAATCCATCCGAGGGAAATCATATAGTTTCATGCTTAGACTTTATTATGCATGTTATATGGGAAGACACATGTACTTTTTATAGCACTTTTACCATAAGAAACAATTAGCATCTAAGAACGTTCAATCTATTATTACCATGCCAGCGCACTCAGAGATTTCCAAATTTTGGATTCTACTTTCTCATAATTCTAGCTAACGAGACAACTACCACGAAATGATACAATGTTGCGAAGCCTACCCGGACAACGGGTCGTGCTACGCACTAGTAAAAAAATGTATTTTAGGGGTGGATGCAGTCAGGCAGGGGGTGTAGGTGGGTCGATTCAGGTCTGGTCGACATGGATCGGGTTATCCTATTAGGACGACGAAGTTTGGAGCTGGATTTGGTCACATACAATCTATCTTATCCTCG